CAGCACAGCACCAACCTTTGCTCCCAGAATCTCCTGTGCTGGGGACCCCATCCCAGACCCCACAGTGTGGCTTTCCCAGGGGTTTCACAACCCTGCAATGGGGACAAGCAGGGCAGAGTCCAACTCGAACCGGCAAAGTGTCAGCGGGTGGAGGACAGCAGAACTGTGAGCTCCTCAGATCCCACCCTGAAACTACTGGCCGAGGTGCAGGGTGCCCCAGCGTCCCCAGGATGGTGGCTGTGTGCACTGAGCCAGTGGTGACTCGGGGGCGGCGGCCCGGGACGAGGCTGGGAGCCGAGGCAAGGCGAGGAGCCAGGGCCGGTGCCGTTGCCCGAGCTTTTCTAGGACAGTACAGCCCACACCCCGGGCCATGTCTCCTGTGGTGGCCCAGGGCCACCGCGATCACTGCTCTGTCCCCCTGGGGGCAGCGGAGCGTTTGTGGCACAGGGATGATGGATGACCATCGTGATCACCCTGTCCCTTTGTGTGCCACGTGCTTTGAGTCCTGGCAACGAATTCAGCTGTGATCACAGCCACGGGACACCCGGTATCACTGGGGACGGACCCGGTGGTGGGAGGAGGCGGCGGATGGGACAAAGGTCCCACCAAGGTGGCCCGGCAGGGCTCTGGGGGCCTCATCAACCCAGGCGGGCCGGTCCCCCGACCGGCGCTGCTGAGTCTCAGGAAATGGAGGAGCTGGGTTGCTGGGGAACCAGCCCGACCGGCTCCCCGGCTGTCAGCACCTGAGGAATGCCAAACCTCCGCTCGCCAGGGCTGGGTGCTCACCGAGGGCTGGGTGTTCGCCGGGTGACTCTGCCGGTCCGCCCAGCCGCGGCGTGCCGGTGCAGGGAGCAGCACCCCGAGCCCTGCGCAGTGCCTTCGGTGCGGTCGGTCAGTGCAGTGCCCACCCGGCGCGGCGGGACCCTCGGGCGGCAGGTACGTGGGGTGTGGGTTGGGGCCCGTGGATGCTGTGGGGGCCAGGAGCTGTAGGGCACCTGCTGCCAGTCAGGGCCGTGCTCAGATCCGTGTGCCGATGCTGCTGTTTGGTCCCCACTGAGCTGATGTCGGCACGGGTTGGGTTGCAAAGCCCGTTTCTGCCACTCGGCTTCAACTCCTTCAGGCTTTTAACCCTATTCCCAACACAAAGCACATCCTCACACCCATTGAGGACAAAGAAGTGCTCACCCAGCCCCAGTGGCCTTGTGGCTAGCTGATAGCAGGGTCCATGCCCACCCACATCCCCTCCTCTCTGCAGGGCATGTGGCTGCGGAAGCACCGGTAACAAAAGGGGAAATGGAAATTGCCCTGCCCTAATTATTAGTCCTGATCTGTGCAGCAGCCGCTCAAACCAAATTCTCGATTTTCCTGGAGGTAGCAGGTCTGCTCTCACCTGCAGACATTGGGAACATCCCAGTGTGTCTGCAGGCCAGGTTTCCCCATGGCCACAAGCTCAAAGCTGGCCACAGGTTGCTGCCACTCAGCCCTTGGTCTCTTCATTACATTGCAGGCATCTTAATCAGGTTCCAGGAGCCCTGATCAGGCTACTTAGGGACCCTTCTGAATAGCAAGAGCCAACAATTAGCTGAGCGGGTTTGCTTGGGTGGGACAGGTGATTAATTGCTGCGCCAGGTGCCCATTGCAACAATACAGCTGGGTTTCATTGCAGCATGTCCTGGCGTGCAGGGACGGCCACATCCTCACCTGCCTCTATCTGGGGTGCTGGTACCAGGCAGGGCTGCAGAGCACGGGGGTGGTGTGCCCTCAGCACCCACTGGGTGCCAGAGCCATCTGTGGCCCTATGGATCCAGCTGTGGCTCCGTGGATCCAGATGTAGCTTTGCTGATGCAGATGCCTGGCCCTGCCTGAGCTCTTCCTACATCCAGCCCTGCTCACTATCCCAGACATGGTCTCATAGCCTACTGCAAAATGACACCAACCCCTCCTATATAGACCAGAAAGACCTGCCAGGCTGGGGTGCATGGCGGGCAGGCAGGACCCAATGTTCCCGTGCCATCAGTGAAACATTCTGGTGGAGGGCAGAGCAGATGTGATGGGGTTTAGAGGGACCCAGCCCCGGGTGAACCTCACAACAGGAAGCATCCAGCGCTGACCCCAGGGATGGGGGAAGTGGCCGCATGGGAGAAATCCATTTCTCATCCATGAGGAATCAGCCCATGGATGGCCTTCCCCATCCCCAGCCAAGAAAGTGCTTAATTTTAGCACTCTTTGGGCCATACCCCAGTCCCAGACCCTCCTGCTGCCCCTGCAGCCCACATACAGCTGGTGTTTGGGTTGGGGACACCAAACAGCCCCTAAATGGGAGATGCTGAGATGCTGCCATGCTTCCGGCTCATTCATCCACAGCTGCTTCGTCAGCTGCTTTCCATTTCCCAAACACAGCAATAAAACCATTCTGGGGCAGTCACGCAGCCCTGCATGGCGTCACTCTGCCAGCCGCAGCCTCGGGGTGCCCATGTCGTCCCCGGCAGCATCCAGCACCACCCAGCATGGGGACACGGGCACAGGGTGCTGGGTGCCTGCTCTGATCAGGGTGCAAGCAGCGGGTAATTAATGCAGCTCATTTTCTTGTGCCAGTGGGGCCTCAGATGTGGATGGAGCAATCCCATCTTTGCTGAGCAATAACTGCCATGATCAAGGGAAGATGCTGCTGGCCCCAGCCTCCAGCAAAACCCCTGGGTGCTGTGGCACGGCCCCACTGAGGCCCTTTCACCTCATGGAGCTGCTTCCCTGTTATTTTTTGGGCTTGTTTGTTTGCTGTCTTTGCTGACTCGGTGCAGTCCTGCGCCCTCCTGACTCATCCTGCAGCTCGGGGCAGAGCACAGCACAGCCAGATCCTGCCCAGGTGGTGTGGCAGAGCGCTGGGACGTGCAGACATTGCATTGCATTGCATTTTGTTGCACTGCGTTTCATTTCAATGCATTGCATTGCATATCATTGCATTTCTTACATTTCACGCAGTTGTATTGCATTTCGTTGCTTTGTGCTGCATGTTGTGTCATGTCACTGCATGGCATGAAACGTTGTGTTGTTGCATTGCATTGAATTTTATTTCATTGCAATGAAGGGATGGTGGTACCCCAGGTCATGCATGGGTGAGCATCCCAAGAGGTGCTCTAAGGAAACACAAAGTTACCACCTGTGTGCTTGAGACCCCCAGAATGTTCTAAGGGACCACGGAGGGGAGGACCAAAGTCCAAAGGGATGGGCTCAAGGCTTGGGGTCTCAGCTCAGCTGGATCCTGGTGCCTCTCCCTGCAGCTCCACCAGCCCTGCTGCGTGGTGGCAGGGCCCGCATGGATCTGCCGTTCCAGCACAGTGAGGCGAAGGGCTTCGTCTCCAGTGCCGAGCTGAGCATGAAGCAAACAGCAGCACCCGGACCCGAGAGCCGATCCCGGTTCCAGAAAGTCTCACTGGTGTCACGACGGCTGGAGCACATGGCAGGAGGGGGGGGGCCGGGATGGCAGCCCCTCCCGCGTCTCCCTGCTGCTGCAGGCCTGGGAGAGGGAGATCGTGGAGAAGACGGCGTCGGGGCCGAGCGCGGTGACGCAGCGCAGCTGTTCGTCCTCTGTCAGCATCCTGAAGGACTTTGCAGCGCACGGCCCCATTTTCTCACAGGTCTTCTCGCCACGGCGGCGGGAGGAGAAGCGGGAGGATGACACAGTGCCTGCGCCCAGAGATGTCCCTGTGCACCGTGAGAGCTACATGCATGGCGTGCTGCTCCCCACTGCGCCCCGCTGCCAGCGCTCAACACGTGACCCCAAGCCCAGGGCCAGGCATGTCACTGTGCTGCGGGAGGGCAGGGAGGCGGAGGAGGGCAGGAAAACCCAAAATGGAGTGTGCAAAGCCACCACTGTGCCCCCATCGCATCAGAAAGGCTGTAAGCCGGATGGTGGTGGCATCACCAAGATCACAGCACGTGGCAAAAGCTCACTGAACACCCTGGATACCAGGGAATCCTCCAGGGAGAAATGTCCAAAGCCAAATGAATCCATGTCCGATGCAATGCCAAGAGGCAGAGACAAACCCCAGGACCTGCAAACCAGTACAGCCAGTGCCCAGTGTCCTCTGACAGATCAGTCTGGAGCCAGAGAAGGAGGTGCAGTGCATAGGGATGGCTCTATTTCAGCCATACAGCCCAGGACAGAGAGCTCTGAGGAAACTGGTGGCACCTCCAAAAACATCTCCAAGGAAGCAAGTGATGGACCTGAGCTGTTACATGGAGCACGAGCATCTCCAAAAGACACAGAAGTTGAAATGAAGGAGGGTGAGATGGTGAAGAATCATGAGGGTGTGGCCCAGAGCATCCCTGAGCCTCCTATGGAGAGCACTGCAGAGCCCCAGCCTGAGAACACTGCAAAGCCCCAGCCTGAGAGTGTCCCAAAGCCTCAACCTGAGAGCATCCCAAAACCCCAACCTGATAGTGTCCCCAAATGCCAATTTGATAGTGTCCCAAAACTTCAACCTGAGGGTGTTCCAGAACTTCAACCTGAGGGTGTCCCAAAACTGCAAAGTGAGAGTATCTCAAAGCCTCAACCTGAGAGTGCCCCAAAACTTCAATCTGAGGGTGTCCCAAAACCTCAACCTGAGAGTGTCCCCAAACCCCAACCTGACAGCACCCCAAAATCTCAACCTGAGAGTTCCCCAAAACTTCAATCTGAGGGTGACCCAAAACCCCAACCAGAGGGGGTCCCCAAACCCCAATTTGAGAGCACCCCAAAACCTCAACCTGAGAGTGTCCCCAAACCTCAATCTAAGAGCATCTCAAAGCCCCAAAGTGAGAGCATCCCGGAGACCTCCCATGAGTCCCCAGCTCCACCATCAGAGAGTCCCCCAGATGCATCCGAGGAGGATCCTGAGCTGGTGGTGGACATGGAAATCTTCGTGGACACGCTGCGCAACATGGAGCCCTCAGAGATACGGAAGGCACCCAAGGTTCCGCGCCAGCCCCGGCCCTCAGCACTGGGTCGCTGCACAGCACTGCCACCCATCCATGAGGACCGCGTGGCCCCACGCACCCACATCTCACTGCCTGTTGCCCTGCAGGAGCTGCTGGCATGGGGAGGGGGGGGACAACGAGCTGAGACCCCCCCAGAGGGCACTGAGAGCCACGATGAGGAGGAGGAGATTGAGAACCCCTACCTGAGCCCTGGGGAGAAGACACTGAGGAAGGCTCAGAATGGCAATGGGGAACTGGGTTCGCTCCTGGGGGGGCCGATGCAGGGCAGGGCCACGGGTGAGCGCAGTATTCTGTTCCGAGGGAATGTCCTCAAAGGGATGGCACTGCTCTCTGACTTCCTGGAGCACCGTGCAGCTGCAGCAGATGAGGCCAAGCCCTACTCACGCCTGGACAACAGCATGCTTTACAGCCGCTTCGTGTCCTCCGCCAGCACCCACAATGGGGTCTCCAATGGTATAGGTGCTGGTGACCAGCCCAGCACTGAGCTGGAAGCACTGAGTCATGACCACAACCCTTCTGTTCCTGAAGAGCCAGCGAGTGCCGGAGCCCCATACCCCACTGACATCCCGGTGAGTGCAGCCCTGGAGCAGTGCCTGAGGGTGCTGGGGCACATAGGGGGGTGTCAGATCTGAATTCCCTGAGCATCTTCCCCTGCTTCCAGCCTATGGATGGTGCATTGTATTGGGGGAAGCTGTGCTGCATAACTGCCAGTACAATGGGATGGTGCTGGGATGGGTGATGGGAGGGTACCAGGATAGGCAGTGAGAAAGGGTACTGGGATGGGAAGGTGTTGAGCTGGAGAAGGGAGGGTTCTGGGATGGGTGATGGGAAGGTATCAGAATGAGTACTATGAGGCTACCAGTGTAGGTAATGAGAAGGTTCTGGGATGGGCAAGTGTAGGGCTGGGGATAGGAGGGTGTGGGGATGGGTGACAGAGGGCAGGGGCTGGGCAGAGGCTGTTCCAGATGGTGCAGGAATGCTTGAGGTGTGGCTGCTCGGGGCAGTGGGAGGGATTTGCTAGCTGTAGACGCGAGGCTTTGGCTGCTGCTCTGTTGGGCTGAGGCAATGGCTGGTGCGGCTGATGTCCTGAGCTCTTCATGTGTTCTCGGGTGCGCACAGCAGGATGACAAGGAGGGCTCTGTGAAGATAAACGCCAGACCCGGAAAGGTATGGGGCATGGGGCAGGGGCTGGGCAGGGCTGGCCCTGGGGCCACGGTGCTGAGCAATCTGCTGTCACCCCAACCAGATCATCCTCTTCTCTGAGGCTGGCTTCGCAGGGCACAGACGGGAGATCTGGGGTGATGTCCCCGACGCTACATCTTGGGAGCTGTCACACAAAATCTCCATCAGGGTCATCCGTGGAGGGTAGGGACCATGCAGGGACAAGATTGGGGGCAGCTGGGGAGGAGGCTGTGTCACAATCCATGTTCAGTGGTCACCATTGTGCCACAGGCAATGGCTATGGCCATGAGCCAATACTGGGGTGACGGGATGCTGCTGGAGGCTCTGTATGGCCATGTTCTGCACCCTGCCACTAGGCAGAGACTGGTAAGCATAGCAATGGGCATTTCCCTGATGGCAGGTGGGTGATGTATGAAAAACCACGGTTCCATGGACGCAAGTGTGTGCTGGCAGAGGGGGATGTGGAGATTGACAACCCCTGGATAGTGTATGGGCAGAGCGATGAGTCGCGTGGCAGTCGGCCCTTCCGCATCGGCTCCTTCAAGAGGGTGGTGAAGGTGAGCAGCTGGAAAATGGGGTGCGGAGACCTCCCAAATTCAGCCACCCTTCATTCTGTGCTCTCCCCACACCAGGATTACTGCACGCCTGAGATCAGCCTGTTTGCTGAGGAAAACGGAGAAGGCGCCAGACTGCAGTTCAGCGACTCGGCCGAGGATACCCGCGTGCAGGGGCAGCCACTCACTGCTTCCTCCATCATTGTGCACTCGGGACTGTGAGCAGGACAGGGTGTGGGGTGCTGCTGGCATGGGATGCTCCTAGCCACCAACGGGCATTTGGGCATTTCCTCCCTAGGTGGCTGGTTTACTCCAAGCCCTTCTTTGATGATGACCCCTATGTCCTGGAGCCAGGCGGGTACCCCAACCTGAAGGCCTGGGGAGCGAAGGATCCATCCATCTGCTCCATGCATCCCATCAGGCTGGTAAGCAATGGCTGTTGGAGCACTGGGGCCATATTCTGTGTGAGCACATCGCTCTGCCTCTACTTCCATTTCCCAGGGCTGCCCGGTGGTGGAGCGTCCTGGCGAGCCGCAGGTGCTGATCTATGAGGACAGGGACTTCCAGGGACACAGCTCCATCATCAGCCGGGATGTCTACGACCTGAAGCGCCTGCCCGAACTGCCGCTGCCCACCGTGGGCTCAATGCGTGTCCTGGGTGGCTGGTGAGCAGTGGGGTGACCCACAGGAGAGGGCTTGGGGGCTGCAGGATGCAGTGAGGTGGCACATCTCAGAGATGCTCAGCTGTGGGGATCTCAGTGCTTGTCTGATCTCAGTGTCTTGCACACAGCTGGGTCGGCTATGAGAAGGAGGGCTTCCGTGGCCACCAGTACCTGTTGGAAGAAGGAGAGTACCAGGACTGGCGGCAGTGGGGTGGCTATGGCAAGGAGCTGATGTCCTTACGGCTCATACGGACGGTGAGAGCATCGGGTGCCACCATCCTATGTCCCATAAGGTCATGTATTACGGAGAGCAGCCATTCTCCAATCCTTTCCCCACAACAAACTGAGGGCTTGGGGCTTGTCCCTGCAGGATTTCTCTGACCCAGCACTGGTGCTCTTCGAGGCCATGGACTTTGAGGAGGGTCCCAGCGTGGAGCTGAGTGAGGCACTGCCCGATACACAGCTGGCTGGCTATGGCACCGTCACACAGTCCATCCATGTGCTGAGTGGTGTGTGAGTATGGAACCTGGGACACGGGGACAGAAGGGACATAGGGATGGCCAAGCCTGAGCCTGAGCTTGCATCCCCCTGGCAGGTGGGTGGCCTACGAGGGCCCCAACTTTTCGGGAGAGCAATACATCCTGGAGAAGGGAGTGTATCGCAACTTTGAGGACTGGGGAGCCACCAACTGCCGCATTGCCTCGGCACAGCCCATCCTGCAGGTGGGTGTGCACGGACCCCCAGAGCCTGGATCCCCCTCTGCACACCCATGGGTGCCCCATGGTTGGGTGAGCTGGCAACCAGTCCCACTCTGTTTGTTTGCAGGTTAGGGAACACAACCTGCACTTCGTCTCCAAGGTATGGAGTGGTGTGTGGGGAGGGAGACACACCGATCTTGGTATCACCACTCTTTGTGGGATAGTGACAGTGCTGCTTTGCCTGCCTCACTGAGCCCCTCCATGCCCCTCCACAGATCCTGCTCTTCTCGGAGCCTGACTTCCTGGGGGAGCACCTTGCCTTTGAGGACGAGCAGAGTGCCCTGCCTGACAGCTTTGTGCCCCGCTCCTGCAGGGTTCGTGGGGGCAGGTAGGGCACTGGGGTCTCAATGGTGGGGGATAGGACGGGGAGTCCTGGGAGACACTCACCCCCCGCGATGGCTGCATCAGCTCAAACATGCTCCTCTGCTCCTTGCCAGCTGGATCCTGTTTGACAGCCAGGCCTTCACTGGGCAGCAGCATGTGCTGTCCGAGGGTGAGTACCCCACGTTGGGTGCCATGGGCTGCCTCTCCTCCACCACCATCCGCTCCTTGAAGAAGGTCCCAGTGGTGAGTGTCCATCCAACATCACTGAGGCAGAAGCCCTCAGAAGCCTCCTTGTTTCCTGCAGCATTTGTTCTCCAGCCCCAGAGCCCATCCATACACATGGGTGCTCTGTGCTTCCCCCAGCTTTCCCCCTTTACACCTTCATCTTTGCCCCCTCCTACAGTTCTTCTCAGAGCCCTCCATCTTCCTGCACGGCCTGGAGTGTTTCGAGGGGAAGGAGATCGAGTTGAACAGTGAAGTGCGGAGTCTCCAGGCAGAGGGTTTCAACAACCATGTGCTGTCAGTGCGTGTCAAAGGTGGCATGTAAGTGAGCCCAGCCCTGCTGTTCCCATCCCAGCTGGGGTCTGTTTGCCTACTGAGGCTGACCGCACTCTGCCCATCTCTGCAGCTGGGTGCTATGTGAGCACGGTGACTTCCGAGGCCGCCAGTGGCTGCTGGAGTGCACTGAGATCACCAACTGGCTGACCTACAGCGGGCTGCAGCACGTGGGGTCCCTCTACCCCATCCGCCAGGTGAGCACCCAGGGAGCCCCCAAACCAGCCCTGGTGCAATGGGGCTGGGGAAAGCAGCACGCTGCTGGCAGTGCTCAACCATGAAAGTGCCGCCAACCTTCCTCGGCTCCCTGCTCCTCCCTGCAATTTGTCGTGGCGAAATGCTCCCCACGGGCAAGCACCTTGCACAATGTCTTGGCAGCATGGCATGGCGAGCCATGCTGTGCCAGCTGTGAGATGAACCAGGGCCACAGCCATCACCCTGGCGCTGTGGAGACATGCACAATGTGATTCTTGGGCGCTGCAGAGATCCTGAGCAAAAAGAGCTTCTCTCCTTCCAGAGACGGATCTATTTCCGCATCAGGAGCAAGGAGCTGCAGCTCTACCTGTCTGTCCCTGATGATGTGGAGGACATGAAAGCAGGGCGCGTGGTGGTCTCCAGCCTGAGCGAGCAGAGCAGCTCTGTATGGTACTACGAGGATGGGCTGCTGAAAAACCAGGTCAGGGCTGCAGATTGGAGATGGAGGGGACCTGGGAATGCCCCAGACAGACCTTTTAGGGCTTCCACCTGTTTTTTTCCCAGGATAACCTCAGCCTCGTCACCAAAGCCCATTGATTCTCCCTTCTTCCGGTCTCTTCTGGAGACATGAATGCATTTCTGCCACACCAGAGGATTTTATCACCTTGATCATGCCTGCCCCTCATTGTTTTCCTGCCTTCCCCATGTCCCACCCCAGAACCAGATGCTTTTGACATGAAACCTCCAAGCCCAAAGCCCCTGAGCCTCACCAGGTGGAGGCAATGGAGGGGATGGAGCTGATGTGTCCACCACCTCCCACTGCAGGTTGCCCCCGCCATGAGCCTGCAGGTCATCGGGCCAGCTGGGAAGGGAGCAAAGGCGGTGCTGTGGTCCGAAACCCGGATGCCATGTCAGACCTGGAGCATCAATTCTCAGGGACGGATTCACAGCCAGATGTTTGAGGATATGATTCTCGATGTAAAAGGTAAAGCTGTGGTGCCAGCACAGGGGCTGCTGTTCCAGGCACCCCGTGGAAATGAGGTGTCAGATGGGGCCACTCTCCTCTTTGCAGGCGGCCGATCATACGACCGGGACCATGCCATCATTTGGGAGGTAGCTGAAGAACGCCCCACACAGATCTGGGAGATACAGGTGCTATGAGCAGGGAGCATGTGGCCCTGGTGCCAGCAAGTGTAACAGGGAAGGACAGGAACACCCTGCAGTGGTGGGAGCTGCCTCCTGCCCCGCTGCCTGCGAGCAGCTGCCATGAAGGATGCCATGACCACCCCCATTGCCCAACTCCCTCCTGGAGCACCATGGACACACGTGCTGCTGACTGCTGTGGGACGCACTGAGTGCAGCGCAGCAGAGCCTCTTCCCCACCCCATTTCCCTATCTGAACTGTATTTATGTACGTGTGTAAGATACGGCCCCACTCGAGGGGGCCAGCCCTACCTGGTTTTGCTCTCCTTGTCCTCCTTGCCGAGTTGTGCAGTGCTCCTCAAGCACAGGACCCAATCCTGCCTCCCAGGCGGGAGCTCAGTGTCCAAGTGCTGTGAGCAACATCCAAGCCCTTGGTTCTGAAAAGCAAGGTGCACAGGCTGTACTTCTGAGGTGGCAGTGTGTCTGGCTCTGGATGCTGCTGTAAGGGCAGGGGGCTCTGGGTCCTTCGTTCCTGAGTGCAGCAGGATGAGATGCCGTGTGGATGTGTCCTGGCACTGCCAGACTGGGCTGGGCTGTACCATAGGGATGGGTACAGTAGAGCACTCATGCCCTTCAGATGGAGGGTGTTTAACCAGGGAAAGCCCTGCCATGGAGAAACAAGAAAGCATGTGGGAATCAGAAAGCATTTAGGTGCTCCAGGACATAATGGTTTCAGTCCCACATGGGGATGGTGATGGTCTTGGGCTGACATCAGCACCCTGCTCTGCTGCAGGCTTGGGATTACCAAAATCATCGCCAACGTGAGCCCCGCTGCACATCCCCACCGCAGCTCAGCTCCTTCTCCAGTCTCCAGAACAGAGCTGCCCTCCATCCAAGCAGGGCTCAGAGCAGGGCCGGAGCTGCCCAGGAACACGATGCAGAGCTGGAGGAGACATGGTGGGGGATGTCTGCACACCCAGACACTTCTGTCCTCGCTGCTGGGCAGAGCAGCACTCCTGGTTTGCTCAGCAGGTTTGGACCCAGCTTGGGGACATCGCGTCATGCGGGAAGCAATCAGTTACCAACCCTGCAGCAAAACCGGGCTGTTCTGGCAGCAACAGGCAGCACAACGCCTTCCCTGCGGGTCTCTCCTGCAGACAGGGTACACTTAAGTCCTGACATCAGGCAGCTCCAGCTTGCCAGTGATTGCTCTGGCTGTCGGCAGCAGCCGTGCCCAAACACCAGTGATTATGGCGAAACATGCCGAGCTGCCGTGAGGCTCACTGGGGAAGGAGGTCAGAGAACCACACAGATCGCAGCACAGGGGCTGGAGCCCAACAGCGCCCTGCAGGCAGCGGTGGGAGGGGCGGAGCGCACACACTACGCTGCGCCGAGCAGAGCAGAGCTGCGGCCGGGAGGCGATCACCTGGGAGAAGGGCCTGGGCGAAGCCTGAGGGTGCCCGGCCGCTGCGTGGCCGCCACGCGTGGTCCATCACTGGCAGGGACGCTGCCGGTGCGGGTCAGCCCCCTCGTGTGAGGCGAACGGCAGCGGGCGCACAGCTGCACCGCACCGCACCGCACAACCAGCAGCCCGCCGCAGCGCACCACTACCGCACTCATTCCGCCCTTATATAAAACCCGCCGGGCCGGGATAGGCCAGGACCGGCGATTGGCAGCTCCAGATTGGCGAAGAGCTGGGAGATTTGAATTCGGTGATTGGTCCGCTCGGCGAAGACCGCCTGTGATCGGTTAGTGCTGGGTGGAGGGCGGTGCCTCGGGTCCGCCCGTCCTGCTGGGGGCGCTGCGCCCTTGTGCTGCTTCAGCCCGGCAATCGGGGCGCGGTTGCGGCCGCCCCGGAGGTGCGGGCGGTCTTGGTGTTCCCCTCACCGAGCCCGTCCCGGTGCCGGCCCGTAACAGCACGAGAAACAAACGCGTCGGAGCCTCCGTACTTTATTTCTCAGAGCTTCGCAGCACGACCGTGCTTGGAGCTGATCCTCCTGGAGGCTGCGGCCATAGGGAAGCACTGTGGGGACACGGGGACGGGAGCTGGCCGGGCCCGGCGGCGGAGCGGGGAAGCGCTGGACTGCGGGGACCTTCGGCTCAGCAGAGCCGCAGGAGGAAGGCCGCAGCCAGCCCCAGGGCCAGGGACAGGAGAGCAGGGCTGCCGCAGGGCGGGCTCCGGGCTACGATCCCCTCTGTCATGGTGCTGTTGTCCTCCGCCTGTCCTAAGGGCTGGAAAAGCAGAGAGGGCAGTTGGCGACGGCTGCAAAGTCAGGCAGAGAAGCGGGATCTCCTGTCTCGTAGTGTCTCAGTGCCATGCGCTCTCCTGAGGCCCCACACGCCAGCAGAGCTGAGGACTTGCGGGTTTTCCCATGCCGGAAGCAAAGCGGGCGCTCCCTCATGCCGTCGCCCTTTTTCGAGGCTTTTAGAAACAGCGAGTAGGAAAGCAGAAGGGAGGGGCTGGCCTCTGAGGAAGTGGCTGGGGATGTGGAGCCTGCGAGGCCAGTGCTGGAGGATGTGGGGTGTAGAGACAGAGCTGGGAAGGTCCCTGGTGGAATCAAGGGGGAGGGGAGCCAAGACCTTCCTGTTGCGAGGGGCACTGCAATTGTTACATGAAGTAGTAATGCAGCTGGGGTGGAAATTTCAGGGCAGCTTCCTTCCCTCTCTAAAGAGCCCCTTCTAAATTAAGGCACTTGCTTGAACACTGCCGCCATGGCTGTGCAGAACCACTTGCTTTGTGTTTCACTGCTCCTCGATCTCACAGGTTCCCTCTGGAGCTGTAGTGGACGGTTAGGATGGGCCTCATTTTGCAGGCACTCTTTCTAGCTGTGAAGGCTTGTTGTCACAGGGTGAGATGCTCAAATGTAAATGCATCCCATGGAGCCTACAACGTGTCACATCTGTGTGGCATTTGAGAGTGACGCCAGCTCATCCGGCCTCATTATCAACATACAGCAGAAAAGAATAAGATCAACCCAAGAGCTGCTCTGAGGAGCATCACCCTCCCTGGAGGTCTTTGCCCACTTCCGAGCAAAGGTCCCCACCCAAGTGATAGCTGCTATCTGCCTGCATGGTGCTGGAACCGTTGAAGGGCCTCCCAGCAGTAAAAAGGGGGAAGGGAAGGGAAGGGAAGGGAAGGGAAGGGAAGGGAAGGAGGGAACCCTGCTGCTATGCCCAGCGTCCCTACAGCCATGCGCAGCAACCCTGAACCAGGCAGCAGCTGGGATAGAGAAGGGGCCAGCATGCAAAGGAGAAGCTGCACAATGGGGGGGAGAGCTGAGAGATGATAAGGTTATGAATATGCGTAAAGCTCTTAAGCAAAAAAAAAAAAAACCTCAAACAAAAAGCAACATACAGAAGTATTTAAACTTTGCAGCCTGCAGTGCAAAGCTCCTTTTACAGCAAGCATGGTTAAAGTAAAATAAATTGTTGTGGCTCCCAGCTGAAGGCAGAATTCCCCCACCGGTTGGATCCCAGACCCCTAACCAGTCTTACACCCCAGGGATGGGTCTGGCTGCTCCCCAGCTTTTGGGGTGCCCGAGCAGTGGTCTTTCTCTTACCAAGCAGAGGGCGAGCAGGGCAATCAGGAGGAGCAGGTGGGCACACTGGAGAGGCTGCATGGTCCAAGCTCAGTGTGCAGCTTGCTGCAATGCTTCCTCATCTGCTCACGGTGATTGCTATCAGAGCTTTTAAAGTGCAGCCGTGGCCCCATCTCACCAATCACACTTTCCTTCCTCATGCTGCTTCTGCAGAGCACAACCCATCACGCAGAAGGGACACCATAATCGGATCCATGGAAAAGCGCCAGGAAGGCATTACTGGCACTGCTGATGCTGCAGGGATGTGCAGGTGGGGATGATGCTCTGAACAGGACACCCCAGTCACCATCTCCAGCAAAGGCAGTGAGCCCCTTGCCCTCCCATTTCCAACACCATATAGCACTCCCTACATTGTGCCCCATGCCTGTGTAGGGCCAGCACCAATTACAGGTTCAAACCCTCTGCTTCAGCAGGAGGGTCTGCAAACACTGCGCTGTGTAATGAACCTCCTGCCCCGCAGTGAAGGGCAGGAGCTAGGCCCAAGACACAAGTGTGGCAGGGTGGTCTGATCCACATCACAGATGGTGGCAGGGCTCCCTTCAGCCCTAACAGCGTTTGCAGCACATTGCTGAGCTGCACCACCCACCTGCCAGCAAACAGCAGAAAACAGAACGGGCTATTTTAGGACAGGTTGAAACGAGCAAAGCTACACCTGTTGCTGTGGCTTTCATTTCTGTGAGTGCATCACAGTGAGCCCTGCGTGGGGGCTGGCGGCTCAGAGTGCAGCACATTGAATGCTCTTGGCATTGCATCTCCTATCTCACCCCCAAAAAATCTGGAATGCAGAAATTCCAATAGCCATTTTGCCTGAGTACACAACTGAAAGTCTGCTATTTCTCAGCCAGCCAATTGGGGCAGCCAATGAATGCCTAATAGATAAATTCCAACTTTCCTTCTTGTTTTCTTCATATGTTTCCTTATGGTACACATAAGAAAATATTTGTTCCCATTTGTGATATTTCTGTCCTGAGCAGCGCTGGAATTATTTGTTAAGGTGGCACGGTGTCCCATGGTTATTTCTCGTCCACTCTCTTATCTCCCACTTTGTGGAGGTCGCCTGAGTTCATTCCCACTTCATTACGGTCACCTTCTAATAGGTGCAAAGCGATGCGCGCTCTCTGCCGCGGTGCACGCCGGGACTTGCAATCCTCGCCCGTCCGCCCCGCTCCACGTGACCGCAGCTCAGCCAATCACAGCGTCCAGGCGTCGCCGTGGCAACAGCGGGTAAACAAGATGGCGGTGCGGGCGCTGAGAGCGGGGTGAGTGCTGCGGGACGGCCGGCCTACCTCAGGCCTCCCCGCGGAGCCAACGCCGAGAGGCCGGGGTCGCTTCTGGCCTTTGTTTCAAGTCCCGTTGTGGTGGGGGGCCCTCAGGATGCCTGCGGGAGCATTCGTGGCCATTTCTGCGCTGCGCTGAGAGGTGCAGGAACGCCCTGCCCAAAGGCGCGCAGTGTGGGCCGGTGAGGAATGCAGAGTTTGGGCCCTTCGGGACAGCCTCTTCCTTTGTGTTTTGGGAAACTTGCTCATCAAGCAATCCCTCCCCCCACAAAGCTAACAAACCTATCCTCGTTATTTATATATTCCCTCCTCACCACTTGTCACAGCAGGGCCCAGCTGAGCTGTTTGCTGGCAAGGCAGTGCTCACCATCCACACCTCTCGTGGTGAGCGCAGCTCTTCTTCCTACACGCCCACCATCAGATAAGTGGTGGAGGGTTTTGACATCCTCGGCAACCCGTGGAGCACATTAGAGCTTCATTTCATTTCACAGTTTCACTTTAGGTCGTAGCTGGCCTGTTAGATAAACAGCACAAAAGCTGCTCCTCTGCTGTCAGTGAAGTTTCCTGTTTGTGCTGCTCCCAGATGTTGTACTTTTCATTAAGGCAGCTCTGTGGTACTTCCTGCCTCTCTGTGTGGCACAGGATGTTCTGTACCAGCGTCACAGCCTCTTTCTGCCAGCCCCATTTTGTGTTCGCTCTGAGCGAACTGAGATCCTTTTGGTTCTGTGCAGTAACAAATGCTCTCACCCACTGATTTTGAGAGTGCTCCTGGGAGTGAATAACCTGGGGCCACTCCACTTTCAGTGGAGTTCACTTTCAGTGTAACACCTATGTTTCTTTACCTGTTTTTGGAGAAGTCATATGCAAAATACTAACCTTTCATACATTTTGTGCCTCCTCACAGGTGACACAGCCTGTCCCCTACGGCAGCCTTCCCTTGCAGGGACAACACTAAAAAAGAATATATGACATCACAGAATGGCTTAGGTTGGAAGAGACCTTAAAGATCATCTAGTTCACCACTTCACAGGGTGAAGTCCCTCGAAGATAAGGGGGTTCTTGACCATCATAGTCTCTCAGTGACAGTCTGGTGGACTCAGTACCCCAGGCGAGGGCTATTTTGTGTTGTCTCCCCCTCACATACACAGCATGCTGCCATTGACATAGCTACCTCCCTACCAACAGCTCTCAAAAATAAGAGCTGAGGGATTTCCACCCCACACCCGCCAAAGGTATCCTTTTTTCACCTGCTTTGGCAGAACCAGAGCTCATGTGTGGGTTCCCTTATGGTGCAGATAAGCCTCCAATATGAATTGCCTTTCTAGAGGTAACATATTTGTGCTTTCAGGTACAATTCCCACTGACATGGAGCTCATGTCATCCATGATGCAAAAAATCAGTCTGTTGGAACAAAAAATAGATAAACAAGCGCAAGAAATCCAACTGAAGGTAAAAGTTCTGGCCCTTACCAGGCCTGTTCAGTGTCCTGATTTAACTTTCAAGCCAGGGTAATGATACACTCACTTAGACACAGTCTGGGCTACAACAAGTTAATCCATAGCCTACTCTGTTAATTAGACAGGTTAGCCTTTGTAAAACAGCAGAGCAGTCATATCTGCCCTTGACATGGAAGACTGGACAGCCCTTACTGCTCTGATCCTGTGACTTTACAAAGTAATGACTCTCAGCATCCTTTCACTACTATCTATTTGGCTTCAGACTCTTCTTTCTTTTGCATTCTGAAAACAAAACAAAGCAACCAGTGGTTTAGACAAGAAAAGTAATCTTAGAACAGGTCTTTTTGTAATACTGTTGAGAATAAATACTGTTTAGTTTAGAATAAATAGCAATAGGTTTTTTTTTTTTTTTTTTTTGGTGGTTTTGTCTTCTTTTCTAACCAATGGTGACAGAAATGCTGGTCTGCTTTCTAGATCAGCCACTAACAGGCCTAAGTATGAGCTGCATTCTTGTGCAGATGGAAGGGGGAGATAGGTTAGCAATGTCCGCAGTCTAATATTGGAGCAGTGTATTACATCCCACCCCTCTGCTGAGTCACAAATTAAGACATTTGTGAGGCCATTTTGACCCTTATTTTTACTCTCTGAGAGAGAGCATGTGCAGCACTGCCTCACCCAGCCAGGACTAATTATGCTAGCTGCATCAAGGTCCTGAAAGCAGAGGATCTTAACAAGGTCATTATTCATTCTGATCTTGAAGGACAGGAAGATTGCGGAGCTTGAGGAGAAGATGAAGACTCTTCAGAAAGGAGAAGGTAAAAATTGTTGGATCCTTGGTACCTTGCTCTTACCCACGGGAGAGTTACAGGTCTCCTGGTACTGCTGCAGAGCAGGCTTGGAGACATTCCTTCTCAGCCATCCCTGCCTCAAAAGCCTATGAGCCTCTTCCATGGTGGTATCAGTTACACACACGGTGCTGTTTGCCAAGGTAGATCCTCACTTCAGTTGTTCTGCTTTTCTGGCGCAGCACTAAACATTATTTCCTGACCTATTTTCCGTGCCTTAATAAGTTTCCATGAGCACAGAATAACCACAAACCTGAAGATGGCCAGAGAAAAAAAGAACAATGTACACCATACAGTTCAAATAGGTTGGGAAAAACAAACAAACAAACAAAAACCAACAAACAGAGCAACTCACAGCTAAGCAAAACCAAAAATTGACTTGCAATCTCAAACAGCACCTACAGGTTCAGGCTCACTCATTTGCAAGGCAACTTAATGCTAAAATAAGCTCAGCTTTAAGTGAGTCACTGAAGCTCTTCTGCTCAATTCCTTGGAATCCATAACTCTCCTGCTGATCCCAGACACGTTTCCTGTCATGGCTGAAATACCTTGTTGGTGTAAAGCTGTGCTGTATCTCTATTTCCTGAGCAGAGAACACAAAAAGCCTGTCAAACCACAACTGTGTTTTGTACCTCATCACACACTGTGCCAGCTACGAAGCCTAGGTTTCTGGATCCAGCTTTGGTGGACACCTGCTGATTGTTGAATAGGTCTCTTAGGACCAAGACAAGCAGTTCTCAGTGTACAGCAGTGGACAGCACCACTCACATCAGCTTCCTATAGCATAAAACTTCAGCAGTGTTTTACAGTTTACTGACGGTGCAGGCAGACTGCTGGGGCTTCCACATTGTGTGACGTGGGCTACCAGTAGCTCTTCTTTAAGGCTATGCACAGTAAAAGCAGATCTTCCCTCTCAGCTGCTCCTGACTCATCCACAGCAGAGGATCTGGAAAGGAGGTGCCTTCAGCTGCAGACTCAGGTCTGGGAGATGGAGGTGAGATGCCTGCTTTACTTGCTCCAAGCCATTTGTACCTTTGGTTTCAGATTGTTGCAGTCCCAGACTGCCTGGTTCTTTTCAAGCTGCCTCTATGATAACTACAAATTCTCTCTTCACTCCTCTGAATGAAAATAACAAGCTGAGTGTGAACTACAGGGTAGTATGTTATTATTATATTGTACACTACAGGTTTTATACACTTGCCTGCTGCAAGCCTCATCATTTTGATTTCCAGGGCTGTGGAAACAACCTACACAGCTACTAGACTCTTGGGAGACTGCTGTATCACTACAGATAGTTTAATCCTTCCTCCCTTTTACCTGCTTCTAGTTAGAGCTGCTACTTCTACTGCCATGAGTTGGCAGCCTCCCAACCCTGAGGTAAACGTTGTTCACCTCTACTTCTGCTTCTCACTGTTGCAGCCAAGCACTGCGAGGCTTCTCTGTCTAGTTTCTAGCTCTGGTCTACAACGCTGACTTGTCCTTTCCTCTTACAGCGGTTTCTAAATGACTATGGTCTGATCTGGGTTGGAGACAGACACGAAGAGCTGGAAGACTTGGAGTCGCTGAGAGATGACGAACTGCTGGCAAAGAGGTTCTGGAAGGCAGGTAAAGCATCCGTGCTCTTTGCTAAAGCAGCCATCCCAGCTCCTCTGCATGCTTAGGGAAGGTCTGATACTCCTTAGATAAGCGGGTGATCAGAATCTGAGATCCTGTTCTGAGGTCTTCATGTCAGTCCATCTCAGGATTAGAGACATGGAACAACTTAACAGGAGCTGGGACAGGCAGAGCACTGGTATTCTATACACCTATATTTTATAAACTTCATCTGGAGAAAAACGAGAGATCCTGGTGGCCCAGCCATTTGGAAGAATACCTTCACAGCAGCTGCTTCCTGAAGAGTTCACATACCCTGAATGTTTGAAGCTTGATTGCTCTAAAAACACTGACATAAAATGGGTGGAAAACAGAACCAGATGCTTTGTGTATTTAGTAGCCATAGCAACTTACCCGCATTGTCTGGCTCCCTCAGAGTATTGTTTGTCTTTCCTCCCAGCCACCATGTGAGTGGTTTAACTGGGGCCTGACTGTGCTGTATGGAGTCCAAGCATATTTGGCGGAGTGGTAACAGAGGAAAAAAAAAGAGCACTGCTTGGGCTATGTAACTGTTGCTACTAACTTACAACTGCGCAAATATGAGCTTGTTAATCTAATCCTTACATGAAGGAAGGAAGAAGACGTGAAAAGCAGTAGAAATATTTTTATACTTTTCACATTGCTTGCCCTTTTTAAGGGAGATTCCCTCCCTCTCATTTAAAGCTCTTTTCCCTCACCCATAATCAAATCTCAGAAAATCAGAACAGAAATACCAAAGGTCTTACCTTCTGTTTCATTTTCTCTTTTCATTTCATTCTTCTGTCCCACTGTAATGCTCTCACTGCTTCGCCCTATCACCTCCTCAAACACCCTCTGCAGCATCCCAGCAAGAGAGAAATAAATCTACTGCAGTGAGACGTGCTGGTGGCTCAGAGCATGCAGCCGCACTGACATTTCTTCAGCAGATCTGCCCTGGTCCATTTAGCCTATTTAGGTTACTCATTCCTCTCTGTGCATTTTGCAGCACCACGTTAAGGGTCAACACTTAAGAAATTACAACCAAAACCAAGTTGCCGAACAGTTGGCTGCACTTTGGCTAGACTTCTATGCTCACTTTAGGTGAAGGCTGTTTTTCTGCTACCGTGCCCTTGCAGTTTTGCACACACCCACGTAGATCTGGCAGCCCTGAACCACGGCGATATTGTTGCACCATGCTTTGCAAAGTGACAAAGTGACGTGCACATGAAAGGCAGCAATGACAACCCCAAACTGTTGGGATGCAGAGACTCCTCAGGCACATCCACACAGAGGCGAAAGCTGCTTGGCTGGCATCTCCTTCCCCCCATAACTCTGCTCTTCCTGCCACAGGTGAGGCAGTTGTTTCCAAACACCAGGTTGATTTTGATTTAATCTTGGAAAACGTGAAGGGTTTGAACATGCTGGCTGGAGATGGCGTCTCTCACGTGCAGCACACACCAGGAGGAGCTCGGCTGAGGCAGCCAGAACCCCTCCCTCTGACCCTGTATCAGAATGGGATCGTCATGCTGGAAGGAGCCTTTCGCTCCTATGAGGAACAGTCTGCTCAGGTACGAAAAGGTTTGTGCAGGAGTCAGACGTGGAGCCACCCTGCTGTGATTCACAGTGTATCAGCAAAGGGAACTCAGAAGAACAAGGCCAGTGGGATCACCTCAGTCCCCAAAACAAGCAGCTAACGAGACCTCCGGCCTTCGCATCCCACTGCCCTGCTGGGATGCTTGTGCTGTTCTGCACATCTGTTGGAGAAATCGCACTGCAAACTGCTGCCATTCACAGTGAGTCTCCTCCAGCCCTGTTGGAGTAGCAGTATTCAACACTGGCAGCAAAATCTTGTGGCTTTTTTTTTTTTTTTTTTTTTTTTTTCCCAATTGGCTGGAAACAGAAATGCTGAGGTGCTAACAGGGTGAGTCCTGTTCTTAGCCCTGCCATCAGAATGATCCCAAAGATTGGGTATCAATCAGGTGATAGGTGCTTTATACATTAAATAAATAAATAAATAAATAAATAAATATAAACAAACCTTAAACTTGTTCCCAGCACACCTTTAAAAATCAACTGAGCAGCATTTTTTTGTTTTTGTATTATTGTTTTTTTTTTTTTTTTTTTTTTTTTTATGAGAGGGGGAGTCTGGACTTCTTTTTTTTTGCACGGCAGAAATATTACAAACAGGAGCAGCCCAGGATGTAAACATTAGTCATCAGATAAATAGAAAATCAGAAGTATGACCATGAACGAGCTGTCATTTTTTGTTTCAGCAATGCCTGCAGGACATTATGGATGGTTATTTCCCTTCAGAGTTGCAGGCACGCTACCCAGATGGTGCCCCTCTGCAGGTAAGCAGTGCAAAGCTCTGCTTTCACGGGGTTTTTGGAAGAAATGGCTCTCTTTTTTCCCCAAGGAAGTTGTTCAGATTTCTTTCACCAAGCTACATGTTCCCTGTACCAATCTCTGGTTGAGGTTTCTGAACGCAGCATACGAGCAGCTGAGTTCTGTGCATGCGTGTATGGCAGTGGTGAGGAGCACACCTGCCTGAGCCGTTACAGGATGTAGGTGAGCAATTGTCAGGGCTGAACAATTTCTCTGCCTGGCTGAATCTTGGCTTGGATCAAGACTTGTGAGAGCACCAATAGGCTTTGCAGAAGAGCAGTGGTATAGGTGGTATATGCAGCCCCTGAAGAGCTGTACAACATCAACATCTCAACTGGTTCTCCTGGAAGAGTTTCTAAAAGCAGATTGGAAAAGTATATCTCGCACAGTTTGCAGAGAGTTTAATTTGCAGTAATTTAAATGGGTTTGGCCACCTGCAGTCCTTTTGGGCCCAATTTCTTTCTAATTTTTCAGGGATGGCAAAAAGCCAAGGCCACCTTTTCAGACTGAGAGCCTCAGAGGACTCCGATTTAGGTCTCTAAGTGCCTCTGAAACGTAAGCGGGCGCAGGCAGAGGGGTGCACCTGCACCACCAAGAAGAAAGCAGGGCACATCTGTGCAAATAGGTCAGAGCAGTGTGAGCTGGAGGGGGTGCGGTTGGAAAACCAGATGGAACGGGAGGGACTGTGCGGGGCTGTTGCTCATGTGGTGCCTGTAGCCAGCTTATTGCAACCACAGCTACAGGCCACAGGACAACGCTGACGCCTAGGCAGAAAGACTGACCCTCCTTATACAGTTTTTCCCACTGCTGGAGGCCTCAGTCTGGCACTGTCCCTTTGTTGGAGCCATCCATCAGATCCCACTGCAACTTCTGCAGTGCAGCATGAGTGACAGTAAATCCCCCTCCACTTCCAAACAGCTGCTTTCACACTGTAGAGAGCATTTTCAAGCATGGAAACAGACAAGAAAGGTCAGGCCTGCACACATTTTTTACAACTTATGGAAAGGGGATGGCTGTCCTGTGCCCGTTGAGACATTGAACTACACTGAGGCCCGGATAGGCCAGGATCTAGCAGGATTTGCTTTGTTAGAAAACCTAGAGGAACTGGAGATGTGTTTCATTGGGTTTGGACAGCTGGAGCAGCTCCCAAGGAAGTATCTCAGTTCCATTTGGGACTTACTGCTCTAAGTTGCTTATTTTATTGCTTCTTGATACAGTGAGCCTTGCTTATAGCAATCGGCCTTAACCAACAGGTCACTGACAAAAGAGATGTGGTATTTCGGGAGACAGACCTTCCTGGGAGCTTTCCTGGCCATGGCCGAGTTGTTGGCCATTCAAAACTAAGCAAGGTGGAGGAGCCCACTGAGATCCCTGGTAAGTTCCTACACCTATCTCTCAGAAATGCATCTCCCAAAGAGAAGAACTGAAACCTCAGTGGGGCAGTCCAGCTAGCAAGAAGAGAATATGTGGGGTCTCAAAGAGGAAGGCAACACTTCCAGGTCAAAGCTTCACCCTTCTCAACATCAGAGGACACCAAGGAACCATGCATTCTTTGAATGAGGTCAGGCCTCATATTTCCTCATTTTGCTTCTGGGTTCCAGCAGCCTGCATAAGCAAAGCTGAGATACTCTGACTGGCTGGAGAGCCAAACGTGCTCAGCCAAGTAGGCAGAAAACAGCAGAGCTACACAAGCATAACTAAACAACCTGTACACATGCACTGCCCTCAGCAGCATCTTCATATTTATATACATGAATACTCTTGCTTATCTCAGAGACATTCACAAGCAGAGAAGTTCCCTTTATCCTTTATTACTGGGAAAAAAGTAGCTGCCCACTGACACCACCAAAAGGAACCGACACAACTGCAAGACGAGCAATTTTCCAAGCATGTATGAACTGCCACAGTATCAGACCTTCCTGTTTGCAGCAGAGATAAGAGGGTTTCTGCCTGTTACACATTGCAGGTGTGAGCTGCACAGTTGCTCTCTGGTTCCACTGGCAGTCACAACGTTAGCGAGCCAGAAAGTGGGACAAGCTGCAGCTGGGGACCAGGAGCCAGCATCCACACGGCCAGGAGAGGGTAGAGCTCTCTCTGCCAGATGTTGTACTCCCTTTTCACTAAACCAGTTTATTTGGAGGGAGAATTCTGTAGGTGTATGAGCTTTTTGACATATTCCTTCTTCTCTGGCAGGTCCCAAACCCTCTCTGGAGCAGTCTTGGAACAAGTATTCTAAGTCATCACTGTGCAGTGAAGCAATGGCCACCCAAGACACAGTCGGAGCAGTGCAGCAGGTATGGATGTGCCCAAACAACACCCCAAGGAGCAGGCTGGCATGGTTCCTCAGGCTCAGTGCTCTGCACACAACCACACCTCCTCCTAACCTCCTCTTCCCCAGATGCTCCATCAGAGCACACACGCAGCACTTTGGCACCTGCTCCTGGTCTGTTCTGGCTCTGGTTTGTCTCTGTGTAGAACAGGTGGTGATACTCACCTGGGTTTGGTTGCAGGGCTCTGATGGGGTGCGGAGCAGCAAAGAGATCGTGGTGGGGACACCCAGGCTGCCTGCCCTGCAGAGGTATGGCTGCACACATCCCTGCCCATCAGCTCTCCCTCCTATCTCACTTTTTTTCTTTTTTCCCCAGGGGTTTCTGCCCATTGATTTTAAACCTTGGGAATAACTAGGAAAAAAAAAAAAAAAAAAGCCATATTTGTTTTTTTGGGGAAAAACCTGCCAACTTTTACAACTCTAACAAAATTTCTGTTGTTCATTGTAACTTACGGCAGTGAAATACTTTTCCCGACGGCAAGACAGAATTTAAGAATTTAAAGCCACCTGAAGCTGTTAACTAAATGGAAGAATCCCTCCAGGAAAGTGATGTGCAAGTGGGATGTGACATAAACAGTGTATTTTCACTCAGTTTTCTAGGCAAGATAAGACCCAAATAGCTAATGAAAAAATCCCAAGCAGATTATTTTTAATCAAAAAAGTAGGGCAGAGATTTTACCAGACAACCCTGATCTAAAATAATTAAGCAAAAAAAGGTCAGCAATCCTCTTCTCAAGGCAGCTTTTAAGCAGTGAAAGCATAGTGGCAGCTGGGTCTGTGCGCAGACTAAGCCTTGCTCGTCTCAAGCACATTCCCAGATGGAAAGCTCTTCTCCCCAGTTCTGATGACCCCAGCACACCAGAGCCCTCACTCCTTAACTGAGACAGCTTTCTGACCTCCAGCTTAGAGAGAGCTGAAGAGCCTGGAGCTTCTGCCCCTGAAGTCTGCACTCTTCGCATCAAATCTGAGAGCGGGGAGCAGACGTATGTCATAAAGATGCTGTTCTCAGAGACAATAGGGGACCTGCGCCAACACCTTGCCCACGCCAGGTAGGACTCTTGCCCTCCTTGCTCCCCATTCTGCTCCATACAGCTCTAGGGGAGGTTCTGCTGCTGCTCAGGGCCCTGGAGCCATGCTTGGAGCAGAGCAGCCTGCACTGAGCAGAGCTGGGTCCTGGGCTCTCTCTGCTGCTTTGGCTCCTCTTGACACCAGAGCTGCTCTCTAGCTGGCAGGGATCTGCTCAGAGCACCTAATACACATCTTTGACAAAAAGCTGACGCATCACAAGAGATGCCTTTCATCCTCTCAAAACTAACAGTTCCGGATGGCTGGGGGACCTTTTTGGTCTTCACTCATCATAGGCTGTAGCCCTTGCCTCTATCCAAGCTCATGCTGAGCTCACTTCTGCTGGGACGGAACAGCCTCCTTCCCACTGCAGCTGTGAAGCCTGGAATGGCTGCTCTGTGCCTGGCTATGCGCAGTTTGGGCAGGAAGCCTTTTTTTCTGCTTGGCCTGCACTTGCAAGGCAGCCTCTCCCTCTGCTCTTAAGTAACTGCAATTGGATGAGCCACAGCATCTCTGCAAAATCTTGGGGGATGCTGTGCATAGGAAAAGATTGCGCTGTTCTTTCCTAGGGGTGGAGATTCCGACTCATATGAGATCATCAGCACCTTTCCCCAGAGGCTGTACGCGGACAACTCCAGGAGCCTGCAGGAATGTGGGCTGATCCCCAGTGCCTCCTTGCTGCTGCGGAGAAGAGACCCCTTCCCTCCAGAGGGGACGGGACTGCAAACAGCCTAGCGGCTCCTCTGCAGGAGGAAAGAGCTATCTTGCACTGTTAACTGAATTACAACATCCCCTTGGCTGGAAGAGAGCAGAGTTGTCTTTCCAGATCTAGTTTCATTGTGCCGTTACCTGGGATGGAGAGCAGGGCTCCTTCTCCCTTTAGCAGAGTGCCGCATGCCAGCCCGTATTCTGCTGCCCCCCGGGTGGATGGTTGCTCTTCCCCAGATCAGGTGGGCTGCTGTCACAGGGATTTCTGTTAGCTCAAGGCAGAGGCCTGGTTTCTCACCTCTGCTTTAGGTTATATTGGCTGATCTTTGCTCAGGGAAGGCTGCCAGCTTTGCACTGGTACCAGGGCAGTTGCTTAGCCGGACTCAGGGATTCTCTACAGCAGCAGATATCTAGGCAGGACAGACAAATAGCAAGGGGTCAATCTCCTTTCCACAGAGCTGCTGCCCGGAGATTTCAACTGTATGTATAGCAGAAGTAAAGCAGGCTCAGTGACACAGTCTTGAGCAATGGCCTTGGGCCGTTGCAGTACTGGGACTGAGCCAGCCTCCTTCCAGCCAGGAGATCCTGCTGCTGGGTTTCCTGGACATGAGCAGCTCCTTTCCTTGGACAGCCCCCAGCTGCAGAGGGGCCAAGGCTCACAGCCACACGGAGCCAAGCCTGCTGCGGCTTCAAGCTGCTGCCTTCCTCCATCCCAGCCCGCCACTCTGCTGCAACAGGACACCGTGTCATTGGAGAAGAGCATAATCCCTTTGCTTCTTCTCTGCTGAACCCTGAGAGTAAAGCATCTTCCCCTCCTTTAGGCTGGGGCAACGCTCTGCAGGCCCCTTTCTGTGCACATTCTTCCCATTTCAGCTCTGACAAGTTCCCACTTGACTCCCAGCTGATAACACTCCCACATGTGCAAGGCAGCACCTTCTGGCAGCTTCCCTTTTAGCAGAAGCCCAACACATGCCATCACCCAGCCCTCTTTAAAGGCTCTTGATAAAAACATTTCTTTGGTTGCAATTTCCACTTGCATTAAGTTTCAAAGCAGCAGCTAGATGCAGAAATAGGGCAGGGTGGTCTGAGCACTTCCTGGGGCAGCTCTGCTTTCCCAGTCCCCTCTGACCAGAGCTGAGCCACGCACAGCTCACACAGGAAGCACCACAAGCTTGGGCCAGCTGCCTCCACAGCCTCCCTGCAATCAGTGACTCAATGCCTGCAGCTGTCTGCTGGTTTCCTCCCTTTTCACATACACTCTTGTATTTGCTTTAACGGCCCCCTCCTACAGGGCACTGCCCTTTTGCATAGGGCAACTGGTCTATAACCAACCAGGTAATTCCAGTTCTGTATTTTGCCCCTGGGTCTGGCTGCCACTGTCCCTTCCCCAGGCTGTTCTTACCACGCATGGGCTGCTTAAGAGAGGAACCTGCCACTGCTGCTCTGCTGGATACTGAGACAAGTCCCAGGAGCCCTTCATTAGCAACAGCGGTCTGAGGCATTCCGATCTTTGTGTCAGGCTGCAGTAGCACCTCAGCTCCTCCAAGATGGAACTGACTTAGAATCATTATGTAGGCTATTTAACCTGTCAAAATAAAAGCAATTTAAAAGGAACCCACGAGTACCAGCACAAAAGGTACAGTAACATTTAATAGCATCTCGGAAGACAACGCTGGTTATAAACTCGCTTTTTGGCAGGAAAACAAAATGCACTTGGTCCAAGTTGCAAAAAGCCAACAGAAAACAGGAAGGATGAGATAGCTGGAGCATCAGCTGTTGTGAAGCAGCCCTGAGCCATCAGCGCTCACCAGAGAGCCCTCAAACTGCGTCACAGCACTGATGGAGCAGTGCAGGTCCCAGCTCCAGGCCCACCCGCTCCCAGCCTTCTAAGAGACGCCTCAGCCCCAGCCTGCTCCCCAGTGGGTGGTCATACCCAGCTTTGTGCAGTATTTCTGCATTAAATTATTAAAAAACAAAACAGAAAACTTAGTTGCCATGATCTATGCAGTTGAGATGAAAGTTTTTTTTTTTTTTTTTTTTTTTAAAAAAAAAAAAAGGAAGTGAGGCAGCAGGATTTACAATTTTAACAGCAACTGGGAGGAGTGGAAGTAACATGCAACCCTAAGCCCTTCCCTCCTAAAGCAGAAGCTCTCCCTGTAGAGGAGAAGGCTGACGGGCAGCTGCACTTCGCACAGCCCGAGAGGCTTTGCTGTTTACAGAGGCACTGAAAGCTGTGGTGTGAGCCGGGCCCAGCTCTGTTCTAAGGCCATGCGCAGCAAGCGTCGGGCTTTCTTTGGATCCCTCTGAGATGACATCGGGGTTAGGTAGGAAGGAATCGTAGGCAGCTGCAGTGAGTGGTTTTGGTCACGGGTTTCCTGGTGCTGGAATACAAGTCGCGGTGCCAGGACAGCGCTGACAACACGGAAGTGAAGATGGTCGGAGATGGGGGTGCACAGGAACGCAGGTAGAGTCCAGGATGGGCGGAGAGCCTGCGGGTCAGGCCAGCTTCAGGAACTCCTGCAGGGTGTTTTGTTCCACCGCTTCCACAAAGAGCTCATAATCCTGCAGGGAACAAAGCACCCGGTTGCTCACAAGCAAGAGGCACGCAGCCCCAGCGCCCGTGTGCTGCACGCTGCCTCCAGGCAGGCAGTGCGGTCCTCCCAGCACCCAACACAAATGTGCACAGCGCTGCTGCCAGGTCACGTGGAAGATGATGGGGCAAAGTTACGACAGCCCCACACAGCCCAGCCTCACTGCCCCTGGGCACACACAGCCACCCCAGCACTGCACTGTGCTCCAAATGCAGATTGACACCGACTGCCTTTTGTCCGTGCACCTCAAGGGGAAACACCTTTCCAAAAGCATCCCGAGGGCATCTGCAGCAAAACCAAGGGGATAACGTCACTGCCCTCCAATCCGCCTCTCGCAGCACCGACCCCCAGCGCAGCCTTACCCCGCAGTACTGGTCTCCGTTGACAATCTGGGGTGGGATGGCTTTGGGGTTGCCCGCCTTTGCCCTCATCTCCTCCCGGAGAGCGTTGTCCTGGGAGATGTCCACCAGCTCGTACTTGATGTTCTTCCCATCAAGGATTCTGGTCACTTCGCTCTGTTGGGATTTGATCTGGAAGCGGGCGGCAAAAGCAACGTTATCGGGATGCGGGGAGGAGCTCCGAAGGATGAATGCACGCTCAGTGCATCAGCCTACACCTGCCCGGGGGGGCCTCTGCTGGAGGGGGAGGGGAGGCCACGCAGCACAGAGCCGCGAGCAGAGCAGAGCGGGCGGGGACGGCAACCGGGAGAAACACGGCGGGAGAGCAGGGAGGGAACGCCGGGATGGGGCGGGGTGGGGAGGCTCGTACCCCCATGGAAAGGATGCCCGCCCGAAGAAGGGAACCCGCGGCGCCCAGCCCTGCCCCCGCCGCACCGCGCAGCCCCTCACCTCCCGGGAGCCGGTCACCGACGTGCTGTACACCTTCAGAGCGCTCATGCTGCGCCCGCGGCCGCTCCCTGCGCACAGCCCGGGCGGGGGACGCTCGGAGGGCGGAGCGGGCCGGCGCCGCCCCGCATGTGACTGCGGCGACCAATGGAGCCGGCGGGCGCGGGCATGCGGGGCTGCCAGCGGCGAGGGCCCGGCCGGAGCGCTCGGAGTCCCGGGGGCCCCGAAGCGCTTCACGCCGCCACGCGGGACTGCTTTGCACGAGTGGAGCAGAGCAGCTTTATTTTATACTCAAAACATTCAGTACAAACAAGTGGGTAAAGACAAACGCCGATATAAATACACCCGTGCTCGACTCGACGAAGGAAAACAACGCGAGGCTGAACGCCAACTGTCGGAATACGAACTGCACAACCAGCAGGGAGGTGAGGCACGTGGTCCTGCACGCTGCGCAGGGTGCTCGCGAAGGAAGGGCCGAGTCCCGCGCCCAGCCGGGCTCTGCGTTAAGCCCAGAGGTCGTTTTGCAGGACAAAAGCACGGCCGTTTCCTGCAGGGTAGCCCGCAAGGCGGTGACACGGAAGCCGGGGCTCAGCACGGGCGCAGGGCTGGGGCAGCCAACCCAGCCTCAGGGCTGCGGCGTTCTGCCGCGATCCCATTTGCGCAGCCGGTTGTGGACAGGCAGGAGGCGCACGCGGCCCTGCACCCAGCGTCACATCTCCCACCGCACCCTGAGCAGAACGCGGCTGCTGCTGAACAGCACATCCCAGCCTGCAGCCTTCCGTGCCAGAGCTCCCGGCGGCCGGGACCTCAACAAGCTTTGGCCCACAGCGAGCTCAGGACGTGGCAACCAGCAGTGTGGGGACAGAGCCTGAGATGTAACACAGCACATGCTGGAAGCTCTGCATGCCATCCCGGAGCTGGCTGGCACGGCACACTGACCAACTCGTGGCCTAACTTCAAGAACAAAACAGATTTGGTCTTAAATCTTAACACAAAAGTTACAACAGCATTTCTCTCAAAATTAGGGCTCACGGCCCCAGTGTGAACCAAGAGCAATTGAAGGGGCAGAAGTTTCAGCAGTATGTTCCCCGTTTTACCACTGACTTCATCATTTGTGGGTCAAGAGAGAGCGACCAACACAAGTTTCACCCTTGGCACCACAGCACTGTCTCAAGCCAACACTCAGGACTGTAAAGTTGCCACTAAGATTAAGAAAGTTGTGACAAAATTAACTGTATCCCACACCAATTTAGATTCCAATTATTTGGCACAGGAGTGGGGAGCAACCAGAGAACCAGAGGCAGAACTAGAACAAAACCTGAGCAGTTGCAGCCTCACTGGCATCAGGAGGAGCTCTCAGATCCAGCTGTACAATCCTGCTGCCATTTTAGGACCAGAAGGGCTTTCTCCTCAACAAGGAGCAAGCAGAGCCATGCAGGTTCTCCTAGCAGGCCTGCAGCGCGGTCCCCCTGTGCAGAGGGTCCCTACAGCTCAGGCAGGAGCTACGTACATTCAGAGTCCTGCAGGATTGTTTGCAATGGCTCTAAAGGCTGCTACAAGAAACAGTAATTCCTCACCCTGCCAGCAGATGCATTAGGCACAAAGCAGTGTGTGGACAGGAAGCTTCTGTAGCACATTAAGGCACTTCAGCATCAATCCATTTCCTCTGTAGCCTGGGTCATACACACACTCAGCGTGCTTTTTCAGGGGGATAAAAGGTTTAAGGCTTCTAGGATCCAGGGGCAGCATTTTGAGTCTTCTGTTAGTGTTGTTTTATTCCCCAACACCTGTTGGCTACCAGAAGACTCTGGCTGCATTTACCTGAGCAAAGCAGGTCCTGGTGCATGAATGGCTACACAAGCATCCAAGCCAGAACTGCACACAGCACCTGACAAGCCGTGGCACAGCGATGTAATTAGTGGTAGCATAATCAGCACACCTGCTTGCCTACAGAATCCACAGATATCCCTGAGCACTCTGATAGCACTCCACTCTTACAAGCTGCACAGGATCTGTGCAGAGAATTTATCAGAAAGACCAGGGCATACATTTTCTTTCAGTGTTGGTTTTAGCTTTTGTCACATTTGCATGTTCAGTGTCTGACATGCCTGGGAGGCTATTCAGAATTCATCTCCCAGAGTGAGAGAGTGCACCAGCTCCAGCAAAGACAACAAAAAACACATTCTATAAGATCAAAGCTACTGCAAAGCCTGACACTGAAGCCCTGAACGATTCCAGTTAGCCAGTCAGCAGATAAACACTTCTGGCAACAACCCCCAATTTCTCCTGGATAAGCCACACGTTTGTACCCAAGCATTGGGATGGTAAAGTGCTGAACAGGTTTTCAATTGTAGGAGTTCTAGTCTCCTGAGAGTTCAAGTCTTCATTTCCTGTCTTACTTTGGGGGGAGAGCTCTCCTCACTGAGTGATGCAGTTGTCTCCCATGTCCTGGGCGTATCTGTCAGATATTGCCGTTCTTAAGTCCTCCACCTCTCTGTGAAGCTGTTTTACCTCCACCAGTTTTTTTGCAAGCGCATCGGGGTTCAGCAGGTCGTCCTTCTCCTTAGCTGAGTACTGCGCAGCTGTGGAATCAGAGAAAAGCGTTACCTCAGGTGTGCATTTCTGACCAACAGCCCCATGCATCTGTAAGTGAGACAAAAATCAATGCACATTTGCAATAGACATATTTGTAACATGCAGCCGTTACTGTATGCACTCTTAAAGCTTGCTAACTGCAGTAAGAAGGTTCAGGAAGGTAAGAATCTTCTAAACTGTAGGTGAGGTACTTAATTCTGCTGCAGCACATGCAACAAAGGGTTCGCTATGCCATCACTGCATACTTACAGCGAATGCCCAGAAGCAGGGAGAGATTAGGATCCTTGCCCTGAGCCCTCTGAGTGACAATGCTGTAGACAGACTGCAAATCCTGCAGGCAGCTGGCCAGCTCACAGTGCAACTCCTGGGCAAGGCGGGCAGTCTCAGCAGGCAGGGGCTGAGCTGTCAGCTCTGCCTGCCGGAGCCGTTCCTGAAGGGTCAGGTTCTTCTCAATGAGATCCTGGTTCTGCACTGAAAGCTGAACAAGTGGCAGCAGATGAGTGGTCACTGGGTACAGAACAAGAACACTTCAAAGCAGCTTAACAGAATTGCTCAGTGATGATGGGAGCACTGATGTCAGGAGGAGCAGGTCTATATTTAAAGCCCTCCAGACTCTCTCCAAGTGAGTGAGAAAGTGAGCAAGTGTCAGCCCTGCAGGGTCTGAGCAGCCTGCTTTCCTGGCTGACAGGAAGCACTCAGTGATGCTGTGCCGTCCCTGACAGCGGGTGACAAACAGAAAAGCTTTCAGGAAACGCACACCACCATCTCATCCCCACCCTAGCCATCTCTTCCCTCAAAGGCTGCCACTGTGGTTCGGTTCCTTAGGCTTGAGACCGAGGCTCACTCCTGCCCTTCAGCCAGGATTGCAGTTGAGTTTGGACTCATGTTCACTGCCTTGCTGCCCCCAGCAGGCCAGCTTGGTGTTGTCCAACACAATCCACAGCCTCATTTGAAGTTCTCGAAGCAGAAACTGCCTCTCCCCTCATGTTTTTGAGCACTGACAGGACAAGTGACGGGCAGAAAGCAGGACAGACTGTGCTGCTGACTGCAAATTAGAAGCCCTGCTAAAAACCACAATCATTCAATTGCTATGCTCAGGTACTCTGCACTGCTCTGACCTCTTTCACTGCAGTCCGCAGCTGCTGCAGCGCATTTTCCCTTCTCACTGCCTCCTCTTTCAGAGCTTGGCTTGTTCCTTCTTCCTGGGCCACCTGTTCTTCCAGGTTCTGCAAAAGACCATGGGAAAATGGTAAGTCTAGCTTGCTTTATAGAAAATTGAATTTCTAGGTCCTTCCACAGCCACCTTCTCACCTTCACTTGCGAAGACAACTGCTCCATCTTCTTCTGCTGTTTTTCCACAATCTGGAATCAAAAGCATAGGTGTAACTATGAGCCACAGGGAATTTCAGCAATGCCACCAGGACTCCTCCTTCACTAGGACAATCCCTCTCTTCCTTGTTCCAGTCCATTTACTGCTTTAATTACTGCCTACATCAGTGGGAGATTAAGGTGCCCTGATAAAAGGCACATCAGCCAGATAAAAGGCAATATCAGCTACAAACAGACCAGCAAAGTTACATTCTTGTGGTTTTCTTCTCTACATTCTGCAGCTTTTCTCCACTAGTACTCCTGTAGTGCATGGTTATCACACCAGGAACAGTTCTTAAAACCTTTTGGTTTAGAATTACAGGAACTGCTGTTTCAGTGCAGTTGTAACTACCTATAGATGTAAAAGTCCTTGATTTCATTCTTGTGCCCAGTGTAACTCCCTGGAAAAAAAAAAAAAATTACGGTTCCCAGTTGGGAGAGCCTGTTACCTTCCTGAGGCAGTCGCATTCTTTCTTCAGAGAGTCATTTTCTATTTTCTGTTTTTCCCCATCCTGTACAGGAGTTCCTCTCTCTGCATTCTTTACACACTGCTGCACCTTGTCCTGCAAGCTGAAAATAGCACAACACCATGGGCAAACCAGCTTTGTTTGGGGCGTTTCCCTCTAGATAATGTGAGGAGGCAAATGATTTCCATAGCAGATGTCAGCGCTCTCAGTTTGCATCCCAGCAAAGGGATGTGAGGGAAGGAATCCCATTCCCTGGGCACAGCCCTGAGCTTAATATTGGTGGAGCCTCAGACACTGCAGGCCACAAAGATCTACTGTGCAAGGAATTATGGTTAAGGCCAATAACCAGAAGAAACAAAAAACTAAGGAGGACAAGAGAAGCTGTTTTTCTTCCTGCTATTTTGATATTCTTCCACCCCCTACTCTCGGCATATAGAATTTGAGCAGTGCTTTGGTGAGTGGTCGCATAATCTTCACAAATTCATGGCAACCCAGTTCAGAGGTGGGACAGCAGATGAGCTAAATCATCACTGCTCTCATGCAGTTACTACTTCAGTCCTAAGGTGAAGATTAGATCTAATCCCATGGATTCTTACCTGTGCACAGTGGAAAGAAGTTCCAGTTCTTTATGTTTCTGGGTTTCTAGCTGCATCCCTTGCTCTCTGAATGCAGCTCGTACATCTCCAAGCTCTGTTTCCAGTGCCAGCACTGTTTCTTGCAGAGCAGTACTCTTCAGTTCAGATTCCTTTAGCTGTAGCAAAGACAATCACAACACTAGAGATCTCCCAGGAATTCCAATCACATGCACAACATGTTCCAACTAACTACCCTTGCAATGCAGATTTTCATTACCTATGTGCCCCCCTTCAGCTGTAGCTCAGAACACCCTTCCCAAAAAAGGGAGGGCTGTAACTTTACTTGGGCAGCTGCACAAGGGTTTATTTGCAGCTGCAGAAAAGCCACCTGAGCAACTGTTAGAAGAGCTATCATCATTACCCAGAGGAAGTTTTACCTTCTGGCTCTGCTTCTGGTGGTCCTCAAGAGTTGGAAGATCAGCCAGGTATCGTTCCAGGGTCTCGATTCTCTGCTGCCTCTCCCTGTTTTGTTCAGATTCCTTCTGGCATTTCTTTTTAAGATTATTAATGTGTTTGTCTCTTCCCTTTACCTGCAAGGATGGTTAAATATGAGATTAGTTTATATTATTTCTTGTCCATTCTTCAGTCATCTGTATACCCACTCATTAATCTGTTTGTTCAGCACTCAGCACCAAAATGCCACCTTGCCTCGGCAGTATTTCTGCTCATTTAGCTAAAGACAGGCTTCTTCTCTGCTTAAAAGCACTTGTAACTACAGGACAAAGGATTTTTCCTTATAAAGCCAAAGTACTCTTTAAGGAGATCAGAATACACATACAGCGCATAGCTGTGAAAAACTTTTGTGCACCTCTCTACACTGCCTTTTGACTTTTCAAAGACAAGACATCTTCCCATCTCCACATCGATGGCATCGTACCCTTTCTTCCTGCTTCTTTAAATCCTCTGCATATTTCTGCTTATTTTCCTTCAGCGTCTCCTGGATCAGCTTTGCATCCACCTCTGCAGCAGCCAGTTTTCTTTCCAATTCAATCTTCTCCTTACTGAGAGATTCAGTCTTCTCTGCGAATTGTGCTCGGAGAAACGTGTTCTCCCGCTGCAGCTCCTACAAACACAGACAGCCCATGAGTTCTGTTCACCACACCAGCGATTATTAACTGGCAGGAAGCAGATGAGTTGTCTCAGAGTTGTGTGCTTTTAATCCCCAACCATCGTTCAGCACATCTTATACACTGCAGTCTCTGACGCTGCACTCGTCAGAGCTGGCAGCACTTGGATCAAAAGCACAGCTTCTGAGCAAACCCTGCACTTCAGGGCTCTCAAGAGTCAGAGGCTCTCAGAGATGACATATAGACATAATAAGGATCACACATGGGATAATTTTGCTCTGCACAGCCCTCCTCCTTGGGAAACAACTAGTGAGGAGTGGTAGGGCCCGAGGTTTCAATACTATTTCCCACTGGCAGCCTGCAGCACCTGCATTCTCAGCATGCAGACGTCTCCATAGGGCGCTGGGCAGCCAAGCAGGGCGCTGTGAACCTGCAGTTCGCTCTCCCGGACCTTCTGCTCCAACTGGGATATGTGTTGCCTTTGCCTGTAAACAAAGACAAAAACAGGTGAAGCACTTTTCTCCAATGTATCCCTTTTTTTTTAATGGCAGTGCAGAGCAATGCCACAAACAGTGCCACAGCAACTCTAACTAATGCTTGATATGGCAACAAGCACAGTGGAAAGACAGCTCGACAACTCAGAGCTGGCCTGCACTGAGCACTGAGTGAAAGCTGCTCATTTTGACCCTTCTACAATTTGCATAAACTTTTCTTCTCTCTCCTCCTCTCAAAATTTCCCTGCCCACCCCCACAGCACTGGTTATACAGCAAACACACAAGCCTTGCATGTTCTGGAAGATCCAGCTCGACTGCAGAGTTTATGAGTAAAACAGACATCAGAGGACTCGAGACGAGCAAGCAGAAAGGATGCTTACAGCTCAGATGCTGAAGGCAGCTTTCTTTAGAACTTTTTCAAAAAGTTTACAGTCACTAGCATTATCTATTGGAAGTGCTCTTTGTTGGTCTAAACTCACAGAAATAACGAACAAATTTGACAGGAAGATCCACAAGAGCTTCCAGAAAGTCCTCAAGCACAGAGGAGGTAGTTCTGACATTTTAGATAACTGTGATGTAAACAAAAATATTTTTTCATTACAAAACACAGAAAATCGTAATTGAAGTTGGTTTATTTGAACTCCTTAGGATCATTGTCTCATTTTCACGATGAAGGGGAGGAGAGCATGTTGGAAAAAGCAACAAAACAAAACGGCCATTTTCAAAGGTATGTTCTTCCTTACAGGAGAATAAAGCAAGTCCATTCAGGTCTCCTTTGTATTTTCAAAACTGTCCCTTCCCAAGAAGAAATACACTGGAGCCCTTAAACCCAGTGTCAGTAGGAAGCTCTCACCTGTCAATGAGGAGCTCTTTCTCCTTGAGTAGGTTTTCATGGGAGTTCAGGATGTTGATCCACTGGGCTGGATCAGGTGTAGGTAGTGAAGGAGAATACATGGAGGGATGGTGGCAGGCACCTCCATTTTGTAACTGAAAGGGGAGACAAAATAAGGAGGGAGAGATTTATGCTCCACAGAGGTAATTGCAACATTGCTAGAGCTATTTTGCACACCGTGTGCTCATCTGCATGCCAGCACACAGCTATTTCAGTCTCTGTTGATGTCCAAGAACAAGCAACTTCACCCAAGAGCAACTGGAGATTAACAAATAATTTTAGATCACTGTGCTTGCCCACTGGAAATAATCTGTCTCCATCAGGGTAGAGGTAGCAAAGGCAATAAGCAGTTCCCCTCCTAAAAACGAACCGCAGTTTACACACCTTCTGAGATCTGTTTTCTAACATACAGAATAGAACTGTTCTATAAACTGCTAAGAACTGGCATGTTTTGGCCGATGGGTATTTCACCTCTGCATCTGCACTGAACTATTGTGCAGTATTTTAACACAATGCAGTGCTGCTCAGAGTAAGCAGCAAATGATATCTGTGACACCACACTGTAAAACAAGCCATTAAGAAAATTACTGTTTGTGTAAGATAGGAAAAGCAGAAGATATTATTTCCCTCACTTCTCAAGTCCAAAACAATCATTCACGAGTAAAAAGAAAGGACAGGTTTTAAACTCACACACACGATGCCCTACCTGCATCTGCTCTATCTGCAGTCGCACACTGTCCAGCTGTTGTTTCCAAGCACTGAGCTCACAGATCCTCTCGTGCGGATGCAGCGTGCAAGTCTCTTGCATCCATGCCACAGATGGGGGTGTTACAGGTTTTGGAAAGAAACTGTTGGTCTGGAGTCCCGTTGGCACCAGCCTGCTGCCTCTTGGCCACGTCCCGTCACAGGCTCCATTAGCCCCTGCAGACTGCTTGATCTCTGGCAGCACCTTATAATGGTCTCCCCCTGCCTCAGCTGCCCCAGAGTTTGGATTGAATTTCTGGAACCTCTGGAGAGGGTCAGCACACAAACTATCCAGAAAGAGAGACTGGTTAAGGGTGCGCTCAATGGCAGGGGTGTCAAACTTCCAAGTATCTTCTGTTCTCACGTGATCAGAAACAGGACGCCAGGATTTCTCAAATCCATTTTCCCCTGAAGTCCCACAGAGGCGCAGCAGATCACTGTGTGGCAGCTGAGATGACTTCCCAGCATTAAAGTCTCCGTTTCTCAGGAGTCCTGCATGTTCCAAAGCAGCCCCTGGCACAGCAGTTTTGGAAGTACTCTGCAAACAGCTCTGCTCTCCTGCTGAGGACAGCTTGGAGGGTGAGGCACCCAGTGTGGATGGCATAACATGGGCTGTTGGGATGGTTGCTTGGGTTTTAATGGGCTGGAATGAGGAACCGTTACTGGTACTGCAGAAGTCTGGGAAAAGATAAGCCATACTTTAATCTTGGAGACATTCTGGCATGAACAGCCATTCCTCTGCTGAACATTTTTCCTCAAGAATCTAAAAAAGCAATTCTTCGCCCCCACCCCAAGCAGCAGCACAATGAAGGCTCCCCCCACGACAAGTTTACCACAGTAAAACTACAGGGAGAATCCAAGTTCAGTTCAGTACACATTTTTAAGTGACTCCAGTATACTAGTTATTCCAGCATAAGCTTAGATAAACAAGGTTCTCTTCCAGTAATTTTAGAAATCAAACCCTTTAAATCAAATAAAAAGGCTGAAACTTACTCAGCTGAACACTGAGACCTTGATCCTGCTCTGCCCATCCCGCAGCTCAGTGACTCTGAACCATGCCCAAACCCAATGGGAGCCTTTGCTAGGCCCATCACCAGAGCACTACATCACCAAGCAGCGGATCTTCCACCTCCTCCAGGACACAGCAGCAAAGGAACTCCTTCCCGAGGCTACAGTAATGGCTGTCGCCTTACTGCTACAGGAAATGATACAGCACAAGCACCCCAACGTGAGCCTGTCCTGTCAGATGGGCACCAAACCTGGCTACATGGAAATGCAGGGTTATTCTTAGCAACTCTCAGATTTCAATGCAGCAACAGCACGAGCTGAGAAAGGCAAACACCGAAATGCCTGTTCCCTCTCCTCCTCCCAACACACCGCATATCTCAGAGACGCCAGGTTGCCTACAGATACACAAACTTGTTTTCTCGTTTCTTAGCTGAACTGGTTTGGCTGGAGGCCCATCTCCATCGGATGTTCCTCTGATCCAAGGTCAGAACTGCAAGGTCACACTCGCACATGCTTGTAGCCTCAAAGCATTGCAGCAAGCAGTAATGAAAGGTAACACTTTCAATATGATCTTTTCAATATGGTCTTTTCAGTACCATCATAAAAACACTGGAAAACCACCATGTGAAAGGACAAGATCCTTTCCTCCAAAACGAGCAGGAAAAGTGTTTGAGGGAAGAAATCTCTTCAGACATTCCTTGGCTGTGTCCAGGAATCCCGGAGAACAACATGCTACCAAGCAGTCACAAGAACACGCTGGCAAACAGAGAAGGGACAGTGCAATTTCCTTTTACAGCCTCTGTATTTATACCCCAGCATCACTGTCAGGAACTTGAGCCCTCTGAGCAGCACGCCACGCACGGACGCTGAAATCAGTCCCTTGAATGCACCAAGGATGATCACAACAACATTTCTACGTAACTGATGAGCTGATTTGAAAGTCAGCATGGCTCAGCCAGTTGTCAGTGCTGCAATTCGGCCTCAGCTCTTGGAAAGACTGCAGCACTGCAGATATTCAGAAGGGCAATTTCCTAAAGAAACATCCTTGTTCTCTATCCTGCCCTCAGCAAACAATAGGATGTTTTCTTATCCGGAGAGAGGCTAAATGAGAGACATAAACATATGCTCTAGTAATATCTCCAGTAATCACAGAATCACCCAGGTTGGAAAAGACCTTCAAAATCATCCAGTCCAACCATCCACTTATTGCCAGTACTTCCCCACTAAACCAGGTCTCTTAGTAGCACATCTAAATGTTTCTGGGACACCTCCAGGGATGCTGACTCCACCACCTCTCTGGGCAGCCCTTCCCAGCAGCTCATCACTCTTTCAGAAAAGTATTTCTTAATGTCCAACTTGAACCTCCTCTGCACAGCTTGAGGCCATTCCCTCTAGTCCTATTGCTAATTACACAGGAGAAGTTGATCCCATCTCAGCACAGCCTCCCTTCAGGCAGTTGTAGAGAGCAATGAGGTCTCTGCTGAGCCTCCTCTTCTCCAGACTGAACAATCCCAGCTTCCTCCACTGCTCCTCAATGTCTTTCTTGTAAGGAGGGCCCAACGCTGAACAAACACTCGAGGTGCAGCCGCAGCAGTGCTGAGGACAGAGGGATGATCTTCCCTGCTCCTGCTGGCTGCACTGTTGCTGATACAAGCCAGGATGCCATCGGCCTTCTTGGCCACCTGGGCACACTGCTGGCTCGTGTTCAGATGAGTGTAAATGAAGAGCCCCAGGTCTCTTTCAGCGACAAAGTCTTCCAGCCACTCTGCCCCAAGCCTGTAGTGTTGCCTGGGGTTGCTGTGGCCAAAGAGCAGCACCTGGCACTCTGCTGGACTTCATCCCATCGGCCTCAGCCCAGTGATCAGCCTGCCAGATCTTCTGCAGGGCCTTCCTACCCACAGGGAAATCGACACTTTATGCCAACTTTGGTGCCATCCCAAATATTTCTACGACCATTTAAAAAAGCCTTAATTTCAACTCACACATTAGGATCTATAGCTCGCTCAAAAGGGACAGACATAAAAGGCTGAGATGTAGAAATGCATGAAATGCACTGTTTTAAAGAACAACACAAAATTCCTCTCTGCTGGAACAGGCATCAGTGAATCAATAGTGTTTTATGTCACTTTTATGAATGAAAGCACTAGTAGGAAAGATCTAAGAGACAAGAAATTTCACCTTCAGGGCTTTAGCTGAGTGCAAGCCACTGTCATTGTCCAGTGAGAAGCACACAGCTTTCACACTGATAAGGCTTATACACAAAGGTACACTGATTTTAAATCCCTAAAATCACAGAATAGCTTGGGTTGCAAAGGCCCACAGTGCTCATCCAGCTCCAACCCCCTGCTGTGTGCAGGTCACCAACAGCAGACCAGGCTGCCCAGAGCCACATCCAGCCTGGCCTTGGATGCCTGCAGGGATGGGGCATCCACAGCCTCCACAAAGCACACACGAGACTTGCTGGTAGATCACTTGTATATATGAGTATCAAACATCACATCACCAAGATGGCTCTTTCAATCTGCTAAAATGCTTATTAGTCAAAAGTCAACAATTCATTAGAGAAACAGTAATTTCCCTGATTACTAGTTTATGTTTTAGGCAGTAAATCTGAGTAGTATCTGAGGCTCTGGTTTTGAAATAGTTACCAGATTTCATTATAGATTCTGTTCCCTCCAACTTGCACATACTAGGGTTCAGTAACTGTTTAATGCCTGTGGGTCTTCTAAGAACACCTCAGGCAGTTATTGTGTGATCCCATGCTGACAATCACCTTCTGTGCTGTCGGAGCAGGAGGTCCCTATGCCCACATCACCGCTGTCGGCCACGCTGGAGCAGCGACTGGTGCGGCTCTGGAACTTCACAGACAGCATTGGTGTTTTCCAGTCAGTCTCTGAGAAATGACTCTTCTGAGCAGCACTAGGATCTAGAGAGAGAAAGCCAGTATGTTTGTGTTTAGCCAGCAGACTGAAAAGCCTTTTAATATATCTCACTGGTGACAGGACAAGGGGAAATGGCCTTAAGCTGCACCAGAGTAAGTTTAGGTTGGATATCAGGAAAAACTTTACAGAAAGCACTGGAATGGGCTGCCCAGGGAGGTGGTTGAGTCACCATCCCTGAAAGTGTTTAAAAACTGGATGTGGTGCTCAGGGACATGATTTAGCAGAGGGTTTTTAAGGTGAGGGTAGCAGGTTGTGGTTGGACTTGATGATCTTTAAGGTCTTTTCCAACCTGAGCAATTCCATGACTCTATGCTTCTATACGTATCTTATTGAGCCATACCAACTTGTCATTTGTAGCAGAAAATAAACTGATGCTTGCTCAACTTCCCATATTGCTTCTAAAGAAATTCCTTTTGCAATTACAAGGAATTGAAATGCAGTTACATGGTTGAAAACCAATCCTGTTATAGAAGTCAGAATGCAGAAGCAATGAATATTTCCAGCAATACGGCTGGTGGTGCTGTGATACTGATTAAAAGGGAGCAGCAGCGAGGGCACACAGCAATATATGCTTTCATATTAACTGTTAAGAAGCGATTACCCAGCAGATGAGCCCGCTACCAAGCGACGGCCGAGCCATAAACCTGCTCTGCAGGAAGCAGCGTTGTGCTACAGCAGAGCTCTGGGCCAGCAGCTCCTCTCGGTCGCGTTTCCCCCAGAGAAACGAAACGGGATCCCCAGCAGCGCGGCAGCCCTTACCCAGCGGATCGCCGCGCTGCAGCCTCAGCTCCGGCTGTTTCTGGAGAGCAGCCATCTTACGTGCTGCACGACGGCGGGGCGACAAGAGACGGGGCTTTAATCAGCGCAAAGCAAACCGCGATCCCACCGGCCGGGCCCTGAGGTGAGGAGAGGGAACAACAGCCCAGGATGGAGGAAGAGAGGCGGAGGAAACCGTAAGGGAGGGAGCGGTAAGGGAGGGAGCCGACACGTAGCACGGCGCCACGGCAACCGCCCGTCCCGCTCACCTGCCCGCCGCGCCAACCGCGCGCCCCGACCGTTACGGCCTCGGGCGGGGGGCGGAGCCAGCAGGACGCACCTCCCCGCCGCTCTCCCCCAGCCTATCGGAAGAGGGAGCTTCACCCCCGGCTCGCGCCGATTGGCTGAGCGAAAAGATGGCCCCGCCCCACGGCGTTCGGTGGAGGAAAAGTGTCGGCAGCCGCCACCGCGGGGCGGGGTTTGCTGTTTTCTTGCGCGTGCGCAGTGCGGGTGGTGCGCTGAGGTGTGGGTAGCTCCGGCCCGAAGTGGGGGAGCTCCGCAGTGGCCGTCAGCAGAGAGCGGAGCTCCGCGCTGCCCCTCCGCTCCGGGTCCAGCAGCCGAATCCTCCCATGCTGGCTATGCGAGTGCTCAGCGGTGCTGGAGGGCTCTGTCGGCTCCTCCCTTCCCCGGGAGCACGGCGGCACGTGGTGTGGGGGGCCGGATGTCACCGCAGAGACACTTCGGCACGTGGCACAGCTGTCAGCGATTTATTTGCTGCAGAAGAGAGCCCGGCTGGAGGCATTGCATTGGGGACGCGTTCCTCCTGGAGAAAGCCCCTGTCCTCACTGTGAAAGCGTCCTCAGAAAAAAGCAGGACTGGCCCTGCGGTGTCCCACCCCTGTGGGCGATGCAGCAGAAGCCACTGTGGGGGGCTGAACCTTCTGAAATGTCACCAAACCCCCACGCACCGATCCAGGACAGGCAGAGCACCCACAGTGCTGTGAGTTCAATGGGGAATGATTCCTGCTGGGGTCCGGGGGGCATCAGGGCTCGGCTGCTCCTGTTGGAGGCCTCTGCTCAGCCTCGTGACCCCCGCCGCTGTCCTGGCCCTGCTGCCGTGCCCACCACTCCTGCAGCTCCTGGTACAGGTCCTGGTGCTCTTCTTTCCAGCGCTGGAACTTCTCGGAGGTCAGCGCGGCATCATCCAGCAGCTGCTCAAGGGCCTGCAGCTCCGCCAGCTTCGCCTGCAGAGGGGAAGGACGCGTTTTGGGGCTGTGTTGGCAGGAGCAGGGGATGGGGAAGGGCTGTGGGATCCCACCTTGAGCGTGCTCTGCAGGGCCCGCACCGCGTGCACCTTCTCGTTGATGCGGGGGTTCTTGTTGCGCCGGATGAAGGACTTACGGCACTGCTCCTGTGTCAGGAAGCGCTGCCGCCCGATGAGGGACACCCCGCCCTGCCTCAGGCACCACATCAGGCTCTCAAGATCCTCCTCGCAGGACTCTGAGCGTGGAGATGGACACCATGATATAGGGTAACCCCGAAACCCCGCTGGGGCACCCTCACCTATAGCCCACATCCAAAGGGGAGTTTGGACGCCAAAACACAACCCCTCAGAGCTGCAAAGACAAAGATTAGCCTCTGCACTTCAAAACAGGGCAGCTGTGAATTTGGTTAAAGGACACACCCAGGATGACAGGGATGCGCCCCTTTTAGCACAGGGCATAGAGTCCCTCGTTGCCGACCAGCACCTACCTACAGGTGAATGGGGCTGAGGGCTGCTCTGAGGGCTGCTGGATTCACCACTGGTCTGGAAGAGCTGGGCTTTCTCTGGGGCGTTCTGCAGCCTTTTCTTTGGCTGGAGAAGAGATGAGATGGGGATGAGATAATGGGGATGAGCTGTCCCACCCTGGGGTGTCCCTTAGGGCTGCTCACCGAGTCAAAGCCAGGTCGGGGAGATTCATCATCAAGGTCCTCAGCTTCTGTCTCGCTGTAGCAGTCTGGAGGCCATGGGGGGGGATAGAAGCAGAGATCCTGGGCCAGTCCCAGCAGCAGCGCCGAGCACCACCCCCATGCACCTCCTCTCCGTTTCTCACTTTCCCCAAATCGTGGACAAAATTCCCAACGCTCCCACCCGCTCCCCATCTCCTTCCTCCATGTTACCTTCCTCCCTGTGTGGGACGGGCTGGTGGGCTAGTGCATGCTTTGTCTTAGCTGTGATCAAGTGGCTGACCCACCTAGGGAAAAAAGGCCAGACAGACAGTGGGTCACGGACAGCCCACTGCAGCAGGACCACTACAAGCTGCCACATCACTCACATGCTCAAATCTGCCAGCGTTTCCGCAGCGAAGACAAAGGGCTTGTACTTCTCATGGGAGAGCTGGAAGACACTGCGAGGAACACATGCTGCCCTGAGCCCATGTCCTGCCTCCCCCGTGTCAAAGCACCCGCTGCTCTGCAGGGACCCCACCAGCACCGCAGTGCCCACTCACTATTTCTTCTTCTGCTCCCTTGTGCTCTCCAGGTTGTAAGTGGCCACATTGATGAGACCTGCAGCCTTGTCATCCTGTGGGGGACACGCGGTCCTGTCCACTGCCTGCCTTGGCACAGAGCCTGGTGGCAGAGTGTGAGGGCATCCCCACTCACGTTGGGGTGGTTGTACCAGTAGAGCGTGTGGCCCTTCAGCACAAACCAGCAGCGCTTCCACTTCTGGGCCATGAAGCCCACGTGGTCCTTCTTCTTCAGTAGCCAGCCATCGCAGTCTGCCCGGCCCAGGTCCCGGCATGAGACCCGCCGGCGGCTCAGCCTGGTCGCCACTCCTGCAGCATTTTGGGGTGCTTCAGGTGTGGGGCGGTGGGACGAGCCCCCAGCCCGCCTCACCCCAGCCTGCTGTCACTGTCGTCCCACTCACCTTTGGCTCTGCGTCCTGTCTGTCCTGTCTCAGGGCTGTCCTGGAAGGAGACAGATGAAGGTTGAAGCAGCACAGCACCCACAGCCCTGTGGGGCCCCCACCTCACTCATCCTTCAGCAGCAAACTCAGCAGGCTGCCCCCCAACACAATCCTCGTGCCCCCATGGATGCCCCCCAAAGCTCCATGCTCCCACCAGCTCTCACCTCCCTGGGGGTCTGGCTGGGCTCTGCACTTTGTGTCCTGGGGGCTGTTGTGGGGCTGAACTCTGCTGTGCAGGGTTGGAAGGCACACGGTGAGCTTGGGGTGCCTTGTGGGGTGCTGGCCTCCCACACCACGTCCTTCCCAGCACCTGTAAACAGTGAGCAAGGTTGCAGCCTCCTGTCCCAAGGGGAGAGGTGAATCTTTCTCCTCGGTTCCTCCATACCGAGACTGAGTGCTGCCGGCCGGAGCTCACCCACGTCCTCCCTGCGCAGGCTTGTGCTGTGTTTGTCTTCGTCAGTGCTGGGGTCTGGCCCTGAGTCTGCGTCGGCAGTGGTGCTGGGGGGAGAAGGGCCCCCTGAGCCACACAGTGCCCCCTGCCCGGCCGTGGAGCTCCCAGTATTGCTCCCACCCGGAAAAGCTCCCAGCGGCAGTGAGCTCAGCCTGCGGAGCCAACGGCTCGACGCGCTTCTTTCCATTCCGGGAGAGGAGAAGGGTCATTTCTAAATATAGTTTCCTCCCCATTAAAACGTTACCAAGTGAATTAATTACAAACAGAGGCACTTCTCTCTGTGTATGCGTGTTGCTTAAGACTCCTGGCAGCTGCCCGGGCTGCTCACATGAAGGCTCTGCTCTGCGGCGATGGGATGCGAGGTCAAAGCTCACCTGGATGCCGGGGACGAGGGGCTGCTGGGGCACTCGCTGCTTTTGGGGAGATCCACAGCATCCAGAAAGGCAGCCGGCACCTGTAGATGGAGCCTCAGTGCTTCACCTTGCATTGCCACATTCTGGGATGACCTCCCATAGGGCTGTAGACACCTGGCTCTGTCCCAGCACAGCCCTGTCTGGCACTGGGAGTACTGGGAATGCTCACCTGCTGCCTAGTGCTCAGGGGGGAACCAGGCAGGCTGAGGGGCAGCTTCTTCAGCACAAGTGACGCTCTGCTATCCTTCTCCAGCAGCTTCTTCACCAGGTTGATGCGTGTCCAACCCACCTGCCAAGGGCACCTGGTGAGTAGGGGCACAGCCCAACCCCTGCATCTGAGTTCCTGCATTCCCCAAATCCTTCCCAGCCAGAGGCAAGCACCCCTCAACTCCAGCTGTACTGGGGTCCGTCCCGGCCAAACCAATATCCCCACGTGTCCCCATTCCCAACTCACCACCACTTGCTCATCGACCTGCACGATCTCGTCCCCGGGCAGGATGTGACCCCCGTGCACAGCCAGGGCCTGGAGCAAATACAGGCAGCAGGGAGCTTTACGGAGCTTTCCTGGCTGGGAGGACTTGGGGGCGGGGTGGCTTGGAGAGAGTGGGTTTAACCATTAACCCGGGGACTGACCCCGGCGTTGGGCAGCTGCAAGGGTCCAGGTGGGGGGGATGGTGGGATGAGCTGCAGCCACTCATGGCATGAGTTGCCCAGACTCAGCCACGTGCAGCCATCCAGCAGTCTGGGGATGGGAGAGTGGCACAAGGCCTAAGAAGCTCCCAGGACCCAGCCTGACAGGCTCCAATGTCCCAAATGGCCAAGTGTAAAAGTGGGGACAAGGTGGCACCAGGGTACAGTGACAGACAAGAAGGGGATGGGCCCCAGCTCACCTCCGAGTTGGTCATGGACACAAAGTGCAGGCAGGAGCTGGTGGAGGTGATCTCCAGACCCTGCAGGGCAGTGGGGGAGGTGTGAGTGAGGGGGGATGAGGGGGGGTAAGGGGCACCAGGGCAGTGGATATCTCACCAGTGGGTTGTAGGGCAGCATCAGGGTGCTGGGGGATGCTGGAGGGCTCCCTGGAGTCTCAGGAGGCAGCACTGGGATGCTGGGAGATGTTGGGGGGCTGTCCCACAGGCCAGGGGGCAGTGTAGGGGTGCTGGGGGAATCTGGAGGGCCATCACATGGTGTGAGGGGCAGTGCCAGCTCCACGTGCTGCAGCATGGCTCTGTGGTCCAGCAGTGCTGGGGGACTGCAGCCCACGATGTTCTCACAGATGCCTATGATGTGCTGGCACTGTGGGTAAAAACATGGAGATGGAGCACTGCTGGGACCCCTATGCCGACAGCCCCCTCTTTATCTAGCACTCACTATACACAGAATCTGGCTGTTCTTCTCTGCAGTAGAGCAGTCCTGGGAGGAAAAATAAGAGGGATGAGTGAGACAG